ATACAGAGGCAGAAGCTGATAGAGCAGAGAGGAAATAATCGGAGACACATTCAAGGTATGAGGGGAAAAAAAGACAAAGATGTGAAAAGCTTCTTCTTTTTTTTTTTTTTAATCAATACTGACAAATGGTTACTGGATAGCAGAAGTATAAGAGTAAAAAGCCATATTTGTAAGAAAAGTGAGGCTCCAATAATAAGAAGCAAAAGTGTACAGTCTAAAAGATGTCAAAATATAGGATTTGGCAAAAGAAAAGAAGAGAAGTTTGTCAATGAGGGAAGGACTTTGAGATAGAGAAGATGAGAGAAAACGAGGGAAAAAAGGGGGTTAGGGAGTGTGGAGGAGTTATGGGTCAATAAAGCCTGCTGTGGGGGAGTGGAGAGGGACTCATAACGAGGTCAAGGACACATCATCGATCGCCACATCATAAAGCTGACTGGCAAGGAGAAGAACGGATAGAGGAGGAGGAGGAGGAGAAGGAAGCGAGCAGGAGGAGAAAAGAGGGAGAGTTACAGCTGTGAAAAGGAGAGTTGACTTGCAGCATCGGCCCAAAGAAAAGACGAACAGAGGGAGAGAAATAGAAAATAAAATTATCAGGATAAAGGAATGAAAGGGGGCAGCTCCGGCCAGAGAGAGGGTTAGAGGGAAATTGAATTAGATGGAATCATAGCCGAACAGATGAATTCTGTAATAGAACACACACAGAGAGCAAACCAGCAGCAGACCTCCAATACGAGGAACTCACTCTTTGTCAATCAAGAGCCGCCCCGTGGCACAGGCCTAGATTCTGCATTCAGCCAGTAATCCTAGCCCCAGTTTGTGCCCCTAATGTATTACATTCAAGTCGCGGAGCTAAGCATTCAATTTCCAGAAGTATTCATAAATGCCAATCTTTGAAAAAAGCCCACAAGGTTTTTAGCCATGTTAGCAGCCTGGCCGATGGGTCACTGCACCACTTTGGTCCGGATTGAAATATCATATTCGTGGTCCGGAGAGGATGAAACCCACAAACCTTTCCGATCCCTTGACTTTCTGAACACACATTTTTGACTTCATGTGAAATAGCTTGACAACTGCTGAATAGATTTTGGTGCACACGTGTCGGCTACATTGTAAACGAGGGCCTTCACACCTCAATGTGCTGTTTGAGTGAAGGTTGAATGGATGAATTATTCCCTGACTTTTCATGAAGCTCCATCATCAGGTTAATATTTTAACCTTTCTACGACTTTGGTTCATGACTAAATATCAGTCTATTGACATTACCGTCAGTGTCAGCTTTGCTTTACGTTTAATGCTGAATTAACAATGTTTACAGTCTTCAAACTTGCTCAACTTTACAATAACGTCACTCATACTGTACAGAAGTTATCATTTCACTTGTCTCACATACCAGAATGTGTGAGGACTATTAGTCTTTCTTATTGAACATCATTAATGTTCTGAAGGTATTTCAGGAAGACTCTTTGAGCCTCCTGGATTAAATGTGTTCAAATGTTGTACAATAGAATGATTTTTAGCTACTTTCTCAGGTTCTTTATTTTCCGAATTTGGCTGTCTAATGACCTTGATATTGTCACATTTTACATAATGAGCAAGAAGAAATGTCAAGCAGTAGCTCAAACTATTCCTTTTGTGCAATATATTGAGCGTTTTTCCTTTACGATGGTCAGAAACAAATTCTCATTAAATGACCTTCTGTTGTTTTTTTAAGCTTTTCTTAGTTAGAAACACAAAATACTGCTAACAATATTCCCAACTTCTTAGTAATCTAATTTTCTTTCCTTCCCCCGTCTTATTTTCCCCGAACAGAAGGCTGAAGGAGAACTGTGTGTTGAGATCTCATTTTTACTTGTTGTCTTGTGATCAGAAATAATTAGAATTTTACATCATTATCGTCATGAAATAAATATTCTGTGATCATGAAAAAAACACACTCTGCCACGATGTTGAGTTATTATTATTCTATGATCCTGAGAAAACAGCTCTGACAGGCTGTTAAGTTAAGAGATGAAGGAGTTATTTGCGATGCTGACACCTTTAATCTCAGAAAACAAACTTATTATTGTGAGATCACACGTTTAATTTTTTTGTGGCAAGAAAACAGAAGAAAAAAAAACATTATTGATCCCACCCATGCTCTCTCTGACTCTTCAGCCTCTTCTGCTCTTTTGCCCACTTCTCCCTCTCTGCCCCTTGTCTAAATAAGTGGAAACGAGGTTGGGCTGCTTCATCTCAGCTAATGCTCTAAAAATACATGGCTCTGTCTGTGGAGAGTTAGGATGAAGCCACCGAGATTCCAAGAACTGCTGTGTTTTCCGTTAGACTCGAACATATCTTCTTGTTCCTCAGACTTGCTCGAGCTCACCATCCTTGCTGTCTGAGTCACTTTCTCTCACCCCCTCCTTCATCTGAACATTGCTTAGAAGTGGCAGAAGAAACAAGTGCTCCGTTAATTTCCCTCCCATCTGCTTAATTAATTTTGCCATGTTCCTCTCTTCTCTTGTCCTGCGCGTTCGTTAGGTGTTTCTTTTCATTCTGCGCTTGGGTAGAAAAAGGAGAATCGGTACAGTTTTGGGGCTTTTTATACCAGCCCTCCATCCGTTTCCCGGCAGATTATCCTGAGGTGACATCCTGAGCTGAAGTTTTTCCGCCCTAATCTGCTTCTTCCCTCTGTTCCGTCACTTCCTCTCTATACGCTCCATGTTTCAAAGCAGATCTAGATTGAAAGGGTTGTAATTTTGTGAACAGATAAATGAGTAGGAGAGGAGATAGGAGGGATGTTGTATAGAAATGGGCTTCCTGGTGCAGTGTGATCCCTCCAGGCCAGACGGAGTCATTTAACTCTCTCTGATATTCTCTCAGCATGGACTTATTACGGTCTTCCCCCCCCACCCCACCCCATAGTGAGAACTGCTCTGCTAACGAGACCGGGGTGATTTGTGTGTCAAAATTGTAGCAGGTGTGATGCTCAGTTTGTGGAAATTATGTAATTTATTAGGCAGGATCTACTCGTACGCGTTGTGTTAAGGCTTGACGGTGGACGTGAGTGACGTTCTTGGAGGCTGTCTGCCATTGTCATAGTATAAACGTGATTTGATTAGCTGGAGCCTGCGCTGACACCTGAAAAGTTGAACTTTATTGAGTTTTTCACTGCAAGCAAAGTGAAGCAACGGACCCATAATTTGATTTGGTAAAACATCACATCACTTTCTTCAAAGTGGGGTTGTTGAAACCTAAAGCATGTACATGGGAGTTGTACATTGGTGTCACAACAGTTGACTAGTAAGTGTTTTCCTTCCTTGAAAATTTTTTTTTTTAAACCATTACAGACTGCACTTTTTCTAACTGCACTGCCTTGCTCCTGATTGGATGAATACTTTCATCTGTGGCCTGTCTACGACCAGATTTCAAACCAGACCAACATGGCTGCTCATTTGGAAGCTTTTTCTGATTTTATGAAAATAGTTTAGAGAAATGCATTTCTGAAAACACTGGAGTCAAGAAATAAGCCATGCTGTTGCTGAACCTGTGTGTTTTATTTTGTAAGGGTTAGTTCAAAAGTTTTTCGAGAGTTTCCAGACGTGGTAAGTCATGCTGGAAGCCCCTGATTTGCACAAAGTAGCCAAGACCTCAACTTTATGCAAATGAGGAGCCAACACCTCTGTCAAAGCACAATGCATAGCTGCCTACATAGATAATGAAAGGACATGGTGGACAGGATGGATGTTTGAACATTCCTGAAACCAATTGCCCTGCTGGAAATGTAAAAAAATAAATAAATAAACACACTGAAAATAAGGCTTTTTTTTTTTTTGTTATTGTCAAAAAATTTTAAACCAAAGAGTGAGAGATCAAACCCAACAATACTGTACGTATAATGTATTAGATCAGTCTCTTAGTAGGTTCCAGCTTCTCTACCTGTTTATCAGTTGATTCTGAAGATGTACATAGTCAAAAATAGATTACAAATATTGGTTAGTTTTTTTTTGTAAGGCTAAATCATTTCTTTATACAGCTGGGAATCATAGTGTTTAGCTTTAGTTGTAGTTTCTGGTGGCTACTACTAACTACTTTTACGGAAAACCATGCTATATACGCAACATGACAGTCTAGTTGGATTGACTAGAATGGACTAAAGCACAGTGCCTATGTGGAGATATATTAGGCTATGGACACACGACCAAGATTTTCTAATCAGATCAGTACGTTGCTGGTATTTGTTGACTATAAAAAAATGTAGAATATCATCAGATTTATCACTTAACATCCTCCACTTATTTCAATAGAGGACTGACTAAGTGTTTTTGTGAGTGGACTCTGTGTTACCCAGCTGCTGCTACTATTAGGCACCATTCCAGATGGAAAGTAAGTGTCTCCGGGCAGCCCAGCGGTTTGTAAACATCAGTCATGTCCAGCAGCCTTAATCTAGACTGGGATTAAAAGCCAGTGGAAAACTTTGAAAGACCGCCGTGATTGGTTGATGACTATTACCCTGCATTGTAGCAGCTAAGCCCATAATCAAGGCAAACATGATCAGATAATCCCAAAATTTCTTTGCAGACCCCTGCCCAGCAGCCTAATCCTCAGATTTAGAATCTGAGATTAGGAGTCCTGGATGATTAATCCCATATTGTGTGTGTATGTTCTCTGCAGGGGACCCTTCGCCGAGTGACCTTCTCTGTGGTGAGCCAGCCCCAGGATGGTGGTTGCTATGACAGCGGCCTGGAGGACTCGGAGACGCCGAGCAGCAAGAGTTCATCAGGGCCACGGCTGGGAGCCCTGCCGCTTCCCGAGGAAGGCTACGAGCGAACCACACCAGAGGGCAGCGTCGGGGAAGAGGAGCATGTGGAGAACGGTACACAAACACCCACTCGAATCATAAAGTAAATCACACAGCACACAGCCAGCAGAATTCACTGAACTCAACAGACTGCCAGATGCGTTTACTTCTATATTTTGTCTCTGAAGGCTATGAGCGCCGCATACTGTGAAAAGGCTTAGACACGTTTTAATTACACACACGTTCTCTCTTTAACACACACACTTTCACTGAAGCCTTGACTTGCATTCAAGGTCTCAGGAGTCTTTTCTCCACTCATGTTGTGCCAATGTGTTTTATACAATAAAGCAGTTGTGTGTGTGTGGTCATGCACTGCACATACAATATGTTTGTGTGTCAGGCTTCTGTGTATTGTGTGAAGAGTTTTTTTAGAAAAGCTAATGTGCGGCAGTTGTGCTATGGCAGTGTCTCAACCTTGGCCTTGCCCTAAGCTTCCCTTTCACCAACAAAATTGTGTTTTCACCACTTTATACCAAGCCTTTGTCAAGGATATTGAGAGGAAAGAGAAGGGTTTTTTTTTTATTTTTTATTTTTTTTTATCTTTTCTGTCCTTTCTCCTCTCTGTGTATGGTCATGCCAGAGCCGGAGCAACGGTGACAAACACCGAGGTCACTGTGACCTTGGTGACTGGCAACTTCTGGAGCTCACAGTGTGCTCTCAGTTAAACACTGCTTTTCCACCAGTGTGTGAAATCTTCGTGTTTTATTTTTTATTTTTTTTTGCGGAGTTTAATAAGTTTTCGTCATGGTCAGATGGAGAGAGGAATGGAACAGAGAACTCATTGTGTTGGTTATAATTATACTGCATAATTATGTGCTTGTTTGGTTTCACATGAATTTGCTTTCACTGCTGCTGCCGCTGCTGCTGTACATATTCAGCAAAAAATTAGTTTTGAGAGCACAACGGAAATATTTAATTTCCTGTGGTAAATTCAAATAAAGCAGAATTTAGAGAATCAGCCAGTAAATGAGTGTACTGCTTGCACATGCTCATTAAATGTGTAGAAATGTATTATTTTTTAACTGTACTGTTGACCGAAAGGTCGTTTTTACCCCATCCATCATTGTTAATATTCCAGTCTCCACTTAATATGCCGTCAGTATTGACTCATAAATGATCAGTTTACATATGTAACAGCAATGACCTTTGACCCTGCAGGACATCGGCCTTCAGTCTCTGGTGGTCTCACTAACCTTCTGAACCAGCTGTCATGGGATGTAGAAAATATAGAACTAATCTTTACCGAGCATGTGAGGATATTTAGATATGTCATTCAGATTTGTGATAATCATCTTCTCTTTGGCATTAATAGCTGTTTGGCTTGACCTCAACTTTCACCTTTCATGTAATGCTGAGCATGGCTGTGGTGTTTTTTTAAAACGTTCTTTGGAAGTCAGCAGTTTTCATTTTGCTCCAGCAGCATTTTTTTTTCCTGCCTTTCTCGTTTCCTTCGAATTCCCCCTCGCTTATAACCTCAGTCTCTCTTTTTGTTTTCTTTTTTTCTTTTTCTTTTTACTTATTTTATTTCTCCCTCACCCAATGTTCAACTCATCCCCTGTGAGGTACTTTTTATTTAATTGTCTCCTCGTGGTGGCCCAGTGTGCACCATATAATTGTAGCTGCCCCAGTGACATCCCCATCTCTCTTTCTCCTCATAATTCCTGTGTGGGTCTCTGCTTACAACCATTAAATGAAGACAGAAACAACAAAAACCTTTAATTTATTTCTCTTCCTTTTACCCTTTTGTGTGTCTTTCCTGTATCCAGATGCCAGACAGCTGCCAGACGTAGCCTTGACAGGGAAGTGTACCAGAGAGTGTGATGAGTTCGGCCACTCTGACACTTGTTGGATGCCTGTCCGCCCTTCGCCTCGGCTGCGTCAGCGCCACGGCAGCGACCCCCCACGACTCTCCACCTTCGCCCCGGGAGATGACAACAACAATCTCCGTGGTAACGACCACGAGAGTGACAGCGAGAGCGCTGGCAGCGCTGGAAGCTCGGAGCCCGGAGTGGTCGTTGGTGGAGAAGGTCAACGATTACCGTTAGCCAACGGGGATCCTCTCGGCACCCTGGGCAGCGGAGATCGCAACAGGAACATGGGTGATCACAACCGCAACCTTCTAAACCGCAAGATGACTTCAGCGTCCTACGACACATTTAGCAGCGCAGGCTTCGGGAGGCGCCAGCCAGAGGAGGAAGGAGGAGAAGGCCAGAACCCACCCGAGGTCATACCGTTGACGAGGACAGGAGGGGACTACAAGACCACATCCTGCCTCACGTTGTCACGCCGTGAGGTCTACCTGTGACAGGCCTGTAACGAAGCAACACCCTCACCATGCTACTCCCTGTTTTGACAAAGAGGGAGGCTTAAAACTTTACTGGCAAGTGATCATTTTAGAGGGCCTTTTAACCTGTGAAGATGTGAAAATGTCAGAAAAGATGTTTTCCAAAAGCCATTATCAAATTGGAACTTTTGGATTCTGACTAATATTTATAGGCACTTAAACTCAAGCAAGCGATGGATCAACTCCTTGGAGAGCTCTGACCAGGAGTACTTTCTAAAACAAATTTTTTAACTACTACTGAAAAGTTACCTACGGGCAAAGATCCTACTATATCGGTCTGGAGAGGGACGACTTCATCTTCTCTTCTTTTTACCTGAGTTCAGTGCATGCCTGACCCTTTGCCACAGAGGGATTTATGTGAAGAAGAGAGAGATCGAATCAGTGTGAAATCCTGATGCTATAAATGCCTGAGTGCATATAAAACTGAGGCTACAGCAGGCCAGAATGGACTCAGCTGGTGAACCATCTGCTGAAAACACTGCTGAGGTTTCATCTAATCAAAATAGATAAAAAAGAAGTAACGGGTCTTTGATTGAGTTATTTGGATCTAATTCAAACCAATCAAACTTTTCTAATGCCTAATCAAGTCTATCGTAACACAAGAGGGGGATTATTAACCAGTCAAACTGCTAATCCCGGGAGAGTCTTGGGACACGAACAGAGTATAAAGTACATGCAAGTGTGGTCGCTGTACAGTTCAACAACAGACTAAAGGTCCTGATCTCAGAAATCAGGTGTTGTTCTTTAAAAACACAAGCGATTCAGAACAAACAGCAACAATGTGAAAACAAAGACTTCTTTTTTTTCTTTTTCTTTTTTTTTTTACATCGATCATATGTAACTACTCAAAATATGAGGATCTCATAGAGTGTCAGTAGTGCCACAGTATTCTGGCGTGTGTGACAATATGTTTATTATTTCTGCCTTTACACCCAGTCTGTATGTATATATTGTATGTGTGTATTTGATAAAAAAAAAAAAAAAAAAACAAAAACAGCAGCGTTACTCTCTCCAGGCTGCTGTCCACCGTTTCATGGTAGACTGAGGTGCTGAGTTCATTACACATCCGCAGTATCCTAACAGTGTTCATGTATGATAAATGTTCTCTCGCACACATGCACACACACACACGCATGCAAGCGCTGACACACGCACACACACACACACACACACACACAAACCTTCGCATGTAAACACATACGGTGCATTTACAGGAACATGCATAGGGCCACAGTTTGTGACATGATTCAGTGGCTGTGTAACATAAAGTATATAATAACTTGCATTAACTGTCATACAGAAACATGGAGCTGACATAAACACACACACGTGAAGCGCATTAGAAACAAAAGTGAACACACAAACATGACACACGGTTCATATGCACTATGTGTGTATGTGCTTTTTAAATCATCATTTTTTTAACATATTGCCTCATTGAACTAGCTGTAGCATTTTGCCTGCTCCCCTCCAGCCAGTATTTAAACATGATATGTATTTAAATAATTACTCATCTCTCGGACTGATGTGTGAGGCTACATTAAAGGGAATCTCAATAACATCTACTGTAAGTAACGATAGAAAATGTGGGAATAGGAGATATTCTGCATACTGTAAGTAGGACTCATAGAAAAACCAAATTTCTGTAAGAAAAAGAAGAGAAAAAAAAAGGAAAAAGAGACTCTGCATGAAAGAAAGATAATGCTAACTTTTTTCTCTCTTTTTTTAAACCACATTCTTTTTTGAGTACCACGCCTATTTGGATACGTCTGTAATGAATGTGTGCGCTTTGGGGGAAATGGAGATAATGATGGCAGCGAGGGAGTTAGCTGCAGTCTGCTCCTTCTTTATCGTGAAGCGAGTTTGGGGTAACCTTGGGCACCTTTTGCTCAGTTTCCACGGCCTGAAGTTGGCGCGAAGGCTGCCGGAGGCTATAACAAAGAGAAAAAAAAGAACAAAATGTAGTGGAAGCGCAGAGCTTTGCAGCGACCCGTTTCACCGCACAGTGCTGACCTGAACACGCCCATGCTGCTGTGCTGAACTGCGCAGATAACAGACTCCTTCAACGTTCGTCCTTCCCATCAGCTACCGCACGACTTCCGACACACTCCGCTGCGTCGGGGTTGAGGAGTGGGTGTGGATCGAGGCCAACACATCTTAATTCCCATCATCAGTGTGTGGCTCAGTGGCGTGATAGGGATAATAGGGTTAGGTCGTCCCTGTGGTCTTAATGAGTTTCCTTTCTCCTCTCTTCTCCTCCCTTGATCTGCGCTGATCTCATTAATGTCTGGATAGGCGAATGTAACACGGCTAGAAATTGCCAGTGAGTGTGTCTCTTAATTTTTTTTCCTGATTGTTTCGGATGAGATGAGGGGACAAAAAAAAAAAAAAACAACAAAAAAAAAACAACTCAGGTGTGCAACAGTGTTTAACCTCCTCACACTGCTGCTGCTTGACTGAAAAATAACTCAACATCTGGAAATAATCGTAAGTGTCATGACACCTCCTTATACTTTGCAGTGATAATTAGGATGAGAAATACTCTATGCGTGTGATTACAATTTGTATACCTGTATATACTTTACAACTCTGTGAACAACATCCTCCACCTTTGAACCTACTGATGTATTTACTCCCTCAGCCTTCATTACCCCTAAACCACCCCCAACATGGCTGTTTACTGAGCTCTGTCATCGACGGACTGTGCCGAGGACGTGGCAGAATTTCTCTGTTTGTGGGGTATATGTGGTTGGTGGAAACAATCACGATATCCTGCATGTACTGAGAGACAAAAGGACACATGCTCATTCTCTGGGAGAAGGAGTTGAGAGAAATGCGTCTCGGTACCTCGGATATCTGAAAGTGAGTTTGGGAAAGAGACTCTTAACGCAGCCCTGCCTCTTCAAAGTGGCAGATATTTCTTCAAAACTGCTGTTTTATGGCAGTTCCACGATGGCACCTTTCAAAACCCTCAAATCTGGATTTAAGGGAACTTGCTCTACATGATTCTGTGTGGGTGTGTCCTTTTTTTATACTGCACGTTTAAACATGAATACGTTTGAGTCTACTGCGAAACACAAGAGGGGAGACAGACAGAGAAGAGCATTGTGTCTGAGATCTATCATCCACTAATTGAGACATTTTTAAAAAAAACAAAAAAACAAGACACTTCAGTGGACATCATGTACCTGTCATCCCCCTTCGTGCTGTTACCCTAGCCATGTACAGATAAAACTACACTGTAGAAACAGTCAACTGAAAAACCATAACAGACAATGGCATGCTTAAGGTTCAAATCTGCACTTGAGAAAAAAACATAAGGAAAAAAAAAAAGCAATTATTTTTTATTTTCCTCTTCTTTGTTTTCTTTTCTTAAGGGACTGGCTCTGTTTTTTTGCTGCTCCCTTCCTGTAATTACTTAATGAACTAATTGCATTTGCTATGATGAGGAAGAAGAGGAGCTGTCAACAAATGGTTTGGTATGAAGATGAATCATGTAAAAGTTTGACTTTGACATTAAAAACTTCAAACACTCTTGTTTGCCTGTTAACTTGGAATATTTGCCTCAAGATTATGAGATGCCCAATTATTGATAGCGAGACCAAACACATGAAAGTAAGGAAAACTTTTAGGGAGCTGATGATATTAGAAAACTTTTGAGCCTTTATTCATGCCTACAGGCCTACAACTGCAGACATAATGTTCCTATAAAATCTTTTAACTGATTAGTAAATGATATCTTGAGTAATAATGGAAGCTATATTTGAAAGTGATGTTCAAGTGGTGACAAAACAATCTTCATTCAGAGGCTGCTTCTTTATATGCTGTTGACTGGAGACGTCTAGGTTCGCATTTCCATTAAAACTGAGCAGATTTCTGCTGATGACGACCATTTGATGCAGTCGAAAGCTGCAGAGCAACCTTGAGTGAAGGTGGTGAAGGTTGTTCTGTCACCTCTGTTTTCCAGGGTCAGGAATAAAACATGAAGTTCATCTCTTAAACCATTTTTCGCGCAGAACCAACACCACCATTCAATGTATAAAGTCAGTTTGTAGCTGGTTGACATCTGAATCTGTTTTTAGTATTAGATCACTAAAATGTGGCACAATCCATCAGTTTTATCTTTGAAAGGTGAACTCTCTGAACTGGATCCTGCTACAAGAAAACTTATTATCCAAGTAATTTGGACTTATCTGAAAATGCTTCACAGGTGTTAACTGCTGCAAAGATTAGCGTGAAGGACTCTTAAAAAGTCACACACACACACACACAAAAAAGTTCCGCAATCTGTATTTTGTATTGTAAAGTATGCAACACTGGCACCAAGTGGTCATGCATCAGTATTACCTCGTCTCTGTTTTTAAATGATTTGAACATACTAAGGGAAGAACACGTAAAGCAGAAGAGACGAAAGACATTTTAGTACCAGTGTTGCAGATCTGTAAACATTTCTTTGCATTTCCAGTCAGACTACACATCTACTAGTTTTATTTATACATAGAATGTAGCATCACATGCTTGTTCTGCTGTAATAAAACAAAGGACATTCAGTGTGACACAATCTGGAAAATGATCATCCATGAGAGCAGGCTCTTCATACTTCACATTAAGTGTCATATCAGATATAAAAATGACAAACAGGTACATGATGCTTTTACTGCAGGTGTAATTCAGGAGCATAAAACCTGAGAAAAAAAAGACATTGATGGAGCTATAATTACGTGAATGGGTTGTTTGTTATACACATCAACCATTTATAGATAAGATAAAGATTTCAAACATTGTTTTCATGCAGAAAAACCACAGATAATACCAACAAACCAAACAGATTTAAATATGTGATTATTCTTTATCTTCAGCATCATAACAACCAAAAATCAAACATTGCTCTGTACTCTGTTTTCTGTTTTCACAGGCCAGACTGCAGATCTGCACTCTGCGCTGGTCAAAAGCCCATCAATTAAAACATATCCACTCCTGGCTCCTAATGTGATTTTTTTTTTTTTGTACAATTCCAAGTTAATATTCACATCACAAACCAACTTAATTATGCTATTTGAGACAAGAACTGTAACAAATTTTCTGATAAATTGTGTTTTTCTAGGCTGATGGCTTATAAAAAATCTCACATTTGATTTAGGGTTTAGTTAAAATGTCAATTCACGGATTCCAAAGCCATATAATTGTGAGACCTCATTATCTTCAATTAGTATAATCACTTGGATTAAACTGCCAGCATGTGTCACATCCTATAAAAGTCTGTTTTCGACCAAAAAAAAAACAAAAAAAACAGGAATTACTGAACACAGTTTAATTCTTCAGGAAAGAGCAGTCCAGACAATATCATCCCCAAAGGACCAATTGTTCTGCAGCCTGCAATAAAGTCATAAAAACACACATAAAAGAAAAATCATTAAACCACACAGTAAAAGATATTAGTAACCTTGCCTGAAACATCAAAAGCGCTGGGGATCATATCAATCACCTTCTATTTGTAAGTCATCTCATACAAGCAGTCACCATAAAAAGCTGCGTAAATAAATCACATTGTTTCACCAGGTGGAGGAGGAATCATCTGCACTGCAAAAAAAAAAAAAAAACAGATGCCAGTTTCTTTGAACTCTTAATTAAATTCAGGGAATAGACCCAGTGGATGTGCAGTTTATTGATTTTATAAAGATAGAGGAAAATGTTGCGAGGGAGGCGCTTGGTGGAGTAAATCCCAAAATGTTAACCTCCTCACACCCTGTCCAGTATATCAAATGTTCTTTGGAGTTGTCAGATGCTTTCAGGGGCTTAAGCAGATTCTTCTTCTGAGTGACAGCAAGCTGGAGTGAACTGATTTTGAATCGCCTTTTGCACGCACAGGGAACCTTATGCTCACGGCTTCAAAGTGAAAAAAGACACATTCATGTGGTTCTTACTCATTTGAGCTATCCGATAAGAGGGAAATATTTTCTGATGTCCAGTCACTTAACATCTATAGTGGTGTGCTGCAAACCTTTCAGCACTCAAAGAAGCATCCAGCATCACTACAAGCGAGTATAAAGCGTCGCAGATGTGATAACTTCTGTCAGTGCCGTGCTCCTCTGTTCAGGAAAGCCTTGCAGCAGAGCTGTAAACAGTCTTTCTCACCGATATGGCAGACAGATGATGTGAGATTTGATCCTCCCTGTGTTCCTCCATAGGCTGTCATTTATGTCTTTTCATCTTTTCATGGTCACATCAGCCTCAACTCATCAAAGCTGTGCCATCAGCATTCTTGGCAAAAAGCAGGAAATAACAGATATACAACATGATCTTATATGAAAGCATATCCCTCAGCAGGATGGGATCGTCCTATAACTAGACAAAGAAAGAAAGTTTTCAATTAAAAGTGGGTCATCCACAGACTCTTAAAAGTTTAGAAGGTGAAACAGCCTTATTATCTTCTAGCTTGTTTATTGACACCATTCATTAATAGATGTATCTTTGCCAGTGGCCTCCTAGACATTAAATACTTAATAGTCAAGACTTTATAGGTAGTTTAGGTTGTTTTGAATATTAATTATTGATGACAATCCGGTTCTGTACGAGTAAGAATGGTCACTTTAGTCAATAGTGTTGGGGATCTATGTGTAAACAGAAACGTCTAAATCAACATGAAGAAACAGATATATCTTGTTCATATGCATTCTAAAGGAGCTTTGAAACCATTGTGGCTGTTTTTGCAGTAATTCACCTTGATGATAACTTGGCAATAAAAGTAAAAACTGCTCCTTTGAAGCTTGATTTAAATGGTTTGTCCTTTTAGCAGCTGGTGAGTCTCACAATCTTATCAGGGTTCACTTAGGCTGGGGCGAAGGGGCCTGTAAATTTTATAAAGTTCAAATGAATCTACACCCATAAAAGACTGCCTGAAGAGCAGGCTTGACCTTTTAACAAAGCTCAACGTGGACACCAACTGGACGAAAGGGAGTGTTACAAGCAACAAAAAAAAGAAAAAAAAAGAAAAACAAGGAGAACGTTTGACTAACCTTGGTTGACTTTATTAACTTTATTTAACTGAGTTCACACGAATGAAGATTTGACTTTGAATTCCTCAGGCGAAAGTAGTAATGAGTAATAACGTGGATAATGAAGTAATCATTATTATTTCTTATTAAATAAAACTATAATTTAATGTGAAATGAATGTCAGGACGGAGAAATCCTAATCAAATACGGTGCATCAATCTACAATCCCGCCTCCAGACAATAATATGGTGATATTGTTATAAAAGGAATTATCAGTGTTATCTTAGAGCTAACTGCAATCGGTGTCGTCTTTGTGTTCGAGATAAATTTGTGCAACGTTAAATGTTGCTTTCCGTCCCTGAAACTAATCAGAACTCTGCTGATGGCAGCACAAAACAATGCTCCGTAGTGTATTTACTCGCAGACAGACAAAGTACTACTTCATTACCACTCATTTTCATTTTGTTGGAACTCACTCAAATGTGGCTACATTCAGGAGAGAACCATAGCATATTTTGTTGTTTATTGCATAGTGCCTGGATGCAGCTCAGATATGCGCAGCAGGGGCCTGTGGGACCATCAGCGGTAGAAGAACATCACAGCTGGCTCAGTAATTTGCTTGGATGCAGTCGATCCTCTGTTATTCCCCAAAAAATCAGCCTGTACCCTTTCAAGGGATGGGAAGTCAGTGCATTGTTATGGCACCTGTTCAAACTTGTGTACATCCCACATACACACAGTCACTGTTTTCTATTTCTGTGATTTCATGACCTGCTGCAACAAAATAGAAATACATGCATAATTTCAGCCTCAAAAGCTCAATATTACATCCCTTTGGTTTGCTCCCAGAGCAGATGGCAACGGCAGCATGCAGGTCTCTGTTGGTCTCTGTGAAGGTGATGTTGTCTGGATTCAGTTCATCTGTAGTAGAAGCCATAAAATACTCTTTTTTTTACATATTCACTCTGTAAGTTATACACTACAAAAGAGTTTCTTTGTGAAGATTACATAACTATGTGCTGTTACTGGTGTGCTTTAAATTAGGGCCTTTCCTGCATTCAAGGTTTTAGTATTTTACTATTTACAGAACATCCCTGTCTGATACAGTGTTTTTAAATCATTTGAAACTCTTTTTTATTTCAGATTCGGTACACTGAAAATCTTTTTTACTTTGCTTTTTTTTTTTTTTTGCAAAAGGAAAGCTGCTCAGTTATTTTTAAGGCCAGACCTTGCATCACACCTCAGGATAATGTTCAAATACTGAAAAAAAAATACATGTTGTATCAAGAATCAAAGGTGGGATAGAAATGATACATTTCTCACACTGTGACTGTATTCATCTTTGTTTTCATCATTTTTCTGCCTGGTCTCACAAAATTAATGTGAAGAGTCTTAGTGGGACGCTACAGAAAATAAACCTTTAAGTGTGTCACAGTCTAATAACACTGATGGGATTCTCCTGATATGTATGCAGTTGTTGCATGAGGAGGGTAAATTAAAAACAAACAAAAAAAATGCAGAAATTCCCATCAAACTCATCAACCAATAAGAGAAAACGCTTTAAAACAAGTGACGCCAACCTCCACCAGACGAAGCATGAAAATTAAGTAAAGTAAATTTGCTGTCATTGTCGAGCACTGCAATAAGAGCGAACGTTCCTCTGGGACCACAGATGGGTGCAGATATACTCCAACTGCAGCATAATTAATTGCATACGACTCGAGAAACGTTGGAAGTGCAACCGTCAAGCTGACAACTGCATAAATGAAGAATGAAAGTTTCATTATGTACAAGAGCAAGTAAAAAATAGGTGAACACTTTGGAATTATCTGCATTAATGTATAAAATTTGGTTTTAAATATGGTCAGGTCAGTTCATCTAAGCTAAACAAACGCATACATTTACAATAATAGCACACAAATCCTTGCCCATGCTGAATATTTCATTAAAGTATTTGCAGTGTAGGTTGGAAAAGTGTGTGAACCCATCAGCTAATGACATAGTGATGAATAGATAGATGTGCAAAAGAACGTGCAATTAACGTGCAAATCCTGCTGATCGATTAAATAAGGTGCCAAAAATACTGGTATTTACAGAAAAGGTGCATGATTGTTAATATTTATAGCAAGTACAAAATAGCTGGTATTTAAAATAAAATAGAATTTTAAAAAGTACAAAAACCACAGTGTAAAAATAGAACTAATAATAAGTATATAGGAAGGATGCTTGGGTCCTGGTGGGCCAGAATAATTGGTTTAAACTGGAGTCAGGAGATAACAAACTTAAAATTCATAATTGAGATAAGGTGTGGGTTAGAGCTTCTTTGAGAAAAACACATTTTGAACTTGCTATCCACATCCATCAAAAACTGTTAATTGGCATAAATCTAGAAAGGGTTACAAAATGTTTCATCAGTCCATAATTAGTCAAATTGTCAATAAATAGAGACGAGTTAGTACCGTGGCTCCAGCTGAGTCCAGAGGCAGAATCATTGCAGCTGGTTAGCATCTCTGTTCATGAGTCTGTCATAGAGAAATCACTAAACAGGCAGTGGAAAAAAAAAGAAAAACGACACATTACTGCACACATGAAGTTTGATTGATGAAATTAAGGTTGAAATGTTTGGGAATAACACGCAGCGCTACATATGGTGTAAAAAGGCCCCGTGAAAGCATCATCTCACCGGCACAGTACAGTGGAGGCAACATCGTGATTTCAGGCTTTGAAAGGTTTTCATCCACTTTTATTCACATCACTAAAAATGTTTTCGCTCGCAGCTGTATACACATTCTTTTCATCAGATTTACCTGGCTGTGCGTAAGCCTGGTAAATCTAAGCGAATGAGCTTCATTTCCCCTCTTACAGCCACGACTGAATGCAGAAACGTCCTTAAACATCCCTCCTTGCCTTTTGATAAACTCCACAAGATAATAGAACTGTTAATGAGAAAAAAGAAGTGCAATTTAACAGACTGCGTTGCATCAGTGAGCAGCTGTTGCTAAGTGTCTCCATACATGCCACTAATTTATCACAATACTGCACCTTCACGATAATCACAGAGAAATCTCAGTTATCATTATCAAACATCAGAAGGATGATCAATGTTTAATTCGTGGCTCATATTGAAACAGACTTCACAAAGTACTCCCAATTCTGGATAAAATTAAAGCATAATGAACACTGATCTATGCCATTTTAAAGGGACCGTCTTTAGGTAATAGATTATTACTCAGCCTACCCTGAGGTAGCGCAGCTCTCTCTCTTTCTCTCACACATTTAAAAGGCTTTTATGCCAGACGTGGAATCCCACAGTGTGTCTTCCATCACTATTGACTGTGAGCCAGATGGGCTGTAACGCCACAAGAGCGATGTGCACTGACATAACAACACTCTGCTGACCTTTTCCAGGCTACACACAGAAACTACAGATTAGTCTCTGGTGGTGTCACCGGCAGACTGAAAGTCACAATAAACTAAAAAAAAACAAAACAGAATGAACAGACTTATCATATGCATTTAGTTGTACTGTATCATTCATTACAAAGTTGCAATCAGCTGATTAATCGTCCTTGGGGGCCACAGTAGCGCAGTTTGATTAGAATACTACAGACAAAAAGGTCAGGAGGTGACAAAAAAAAAATCCTCATTCTCCGGAGGACATGAAAATCAATAGCAAATGTAACCTGACAGGTAGTTTGTTGAGACATCTTCCTTCGGAGCAAAGTGCTGAACAGAGCACCAGACTGACTAATGTTATAGTCCTCCGGCTGCACCACTTCAGAGCCACACTTGATCTTTGAATGTGCTAATAACGCTGTTTGCAGTGGGATTGTGGCCAGAGGCTCTGTTGTGACCATTCTCAAAAATTAATTTGAAATTAATTGCTTTGCTGCACATTACGGGATATCTGTAAAGCACCACATCAAATTTCATGATATACAGGAAATGTCATCTTATTAACAATCTTGTTGCAACATAAAGTTAATTTGCCACATCTGAAAAGACAGTAAATAAGGGGAATAAATGTTAGGCTCAATTAAAAATGAATGCTTCTCCTGACCTTGTTGTCTTAATTTGCCCAAAAGCAGATACAAAATATTTTCCTTGAAGTATTTTTTTCAATTTGTCAAAACAGTCTTTCATGAATTTCTGAAGTGAAGCTATGAACATACAGAATTAATTTCATTTACCCCAAAGCCTTCATTCAGTCTCGATCCATGAAATAATTTAATTTCATACGCAGTGTAATATTTACCTTTGAAGTAACAGATTTCAGTTTTCACTTTTGTGCTCTCTTCTCTTCTAGGTAAAGTTTATTATCTCTTTCCACGTCCATTCAAATGTTTAAATATCCCTGTTTCCCATTTTAATATGTGTTGGACTGTCTTTTTTTGTTTTGTATTATTGCTGTTACGTTCCTAAATCAGCCCACTTTAGCATAGAAGCTGTAGGCTTCAATTTTATATACTGTTACTGTTATACTCCTTCTGTAATCACAAACTTTATAATGTTTTAACATGATTGTCCTCCTTCCTGGTAAATAATAAGATTTAATATGTGGTCTCCCAGCATGTAAAATACAACTGTCTCTGTTTCTAAATGTACCTAAACACAAATCTAATGCAGTAAAAGTAACACAGCAAAGATTATTTGATTGCATCTCACCTAGGTGGCTATGCTCAAGTGTCCTATTATGGTGTATGTGTCTCAGGGATTGTGTGTTTAACCCATGTTTTCCTGACACAAACACCTGCAATTAAAGCAGACAAATGTATTCACAGATTGTTTGCGTCTGAGAAATTCAGCAGACAAAGACAACGATGTGGCAGAAGCATCAGCATTACAATCAGTCATTTTAAGTTCATAATAAACTCTCAGGAGTGATCATTTACCATCATTTTTGTCAACAGTCAAGTCTTTATTAATCATTAGTGGTTCCATTGGAGACACCAGACAACAGCAACAAAAACAGAGCGGCATAGAAACACTAAATGTACCATAATGAAGAAAAAAAAACACCCAGAATCATTCCAGAATTAAACAAATGGAACAAAAACTGTTTAAAAAGATTGTCAAGTGAGGTGAAGTAAAGATGGTGGAAGCTGAAGCTCTTTTACAGCAGCGAGCTCAGCAAATCAATACAACAAAGATCTATATCTGGCGAGAGCGTTTGGCAGAAAACTATGACGCACATTGTGAAGTTTTTTTTACTGTGAAACTCTATTATGTAAATACATCAATCTAGAACTTAATTCTGCAGTTGTTTTTGTATTCACTTCAACTGCTTATCTACTTTCACACTTTATATTGAGAGTATTGACACATTTGCATATAGTATCGGTTGGTGAAGTGCAATTTGCATTGCTTTTATTGAAGTTCACAGTAATGTTGAAATGACTGAACGCGTTTGAACCTGGCAACTATCCACAGTGAATGTCATTAAGTTTTCAAAGCATACATTTACCAATATAAGGATGTCTGTGCTGCAGAATACAAATGTGCTTCGAGTATGATTTTAAGTGTTCCTCCACGGCAACAATAAACCACAAGTAGTGCAACATCTAAAGACGTCTCCATGCAATATGTATAACCCATCCACTTGAGCCACATTGAAACAAATATTGCTGAGATGTTGAAACCAGAAAAAAAAAAAATTATTTCTTCATCTGTCCACCGGATTGGTGGAAAGGAGCACCATGTCTGAGCGGACCCAAACAGTAAAACGTGGGAGGTGAAGAAGAAGAAGAAGAAGTGGGAAGTCATGCTCATGGGGAAGGAAAGTACAACTTTATGGAATAACACAGGGGTCACGTTTGGATGCTTGGAGGGGGTCCAACACCAGATCTGTGTGTGTGTATGTGTGTGTTTGTGTGTGAGTTTTTGCTTGATTGTAAATCACACTCATATTTGTATTGGAAGTATCAGTGTGCCTTATTCTGAGTGACCGTGCCAAACGAATAAAATCATAATGCTCTAAAAAGAGTGTGTCACCATTGTACCAAAAAAAATACAAAGGTTTTCATTCATGCCAGTGTGCTCACACTCTCAGTCATACACATACACTCGCACACACTTGAGATTTGAAACCCCACACCAGCCACACTTTGTGCACAAAGTCAAGCATTCAGCCAAGGCTGGTGATGTTGGAGCGACCACCAGGGGGTGCTACAATGCGGTGGCCAGAGCGACGAGGGATGTTGTCATCAATCTGTGCACCTGAGAAGTAAAGATTTATTAATATTAGTATTGCACCTTTACATCTCTGTTATCCATAAGATGTGGATATTTAGAGTTTGCTAGATTTCAGAACGTGTTTTTTTCCTGTTACCTGATAGGCTGAAGTTGGACTGGTGAAGATTGCGTATTGGTGGTGGCTGGTGAGAGGTGGGGGAAGTTTTGGCGGACGGCGCAGGAGTGATGTATTTGGGTGTAGGAACAACGTCATACACAGGGCCGTCATATATCCCACGAGTAACGCCCTGTTTGCTCTTTACCTGGATGGAAAATACACAGAGACACGAGCAAACCTATTAGTCATTCTTTAGAAACAAATAGCCCATTAGTCAGGATGATACAGGACTAATTGGCTCATTTGTATATTTTGCGTGAATCATCCCCAGTGGAAACAGTGAGAGAATTATGGCTGCAATTAATGATTATTTATGTAATCAATTAAGCTGTGTATTCTTTTTCCTCTTTCGATAAAATGATGAATTGTTTTGTCCATAAGGGTCAAGAAATAGTGAAGAATACTTATGAAGTCACTTACTTTATGTTTTCTATTATTAAATAGTTGACATTACTTTCAAGAAATCTGTTTTACTTTGACATGAAAGTGTCTTTCTTGTAAATTCTTGCAGAAAAAAAAGAAAAAAAAAGTTAAATTGACCATGATTTAATGTTAAAACACAATAAAAGAGGAAAACTTCCAAAGGGGGTGAATAGTTTCTATAGACGATGTGTATTCTGACCACGTTGGAAGCTAAAGGGGGGAACTACAAAACTCTGGCAACTGAGACTTCTTCAATTTTTCATATGACTCGGAGGCCAGCGTTTTTTTTCAGGATATATATATATATTTTAGGTATTTCGAAGAAATGTTGAGGCCAGCAAGAGCGGGCAAAGTAGAGAAAGCATGCAGAGAAGAGAAATGTAGAGAAACACATTTCTGAAATGTCTCATTTACGATACTGCCTCAGAAACATTTTTTAAACCATTTTGCATACTTTACCTGATTCCTGAACTTTACACGCTGGTAAGCATAGTCAGGGAAGGGCTTGCGCGGAATAAATCGACCGGTGCCCTGCTGAGTCTGCAGCTTGCCGTCTTCATAAACTACCCGACCTTGACTCAACACCAGCGCCGGACCTCCACGACACTCCAGACCCTCAAAGATGTTGTATTCTGAAGCCTGTGCAGAGAAGGAGAGTGAACAAGACAAAGAAAGGTGGAGAAGAGGAAATAAATAGAAGGAACACAAGAGAGTTCTTTGATTTCCTGCTCTACAGCATCCACTTTTAGAGCACTGATACCCTGCACTGCTGAGGCCCGCTGTGCTATTTGAGCAAGCATTTTATCAAAAGGCCTTAATAGATGCAGCAAAATGCTGCATTTGGGAAGATGGGGGATGAATAAATGGGAGGCTTGGGGCATATACAGGGAGCGACAGTGTGAATAAGGGGGATGGGTACAGAGATGGTAGCACAGAATGGGTGTGGGGTGAAGGGGGATTATAACCTAAAGCCGGCACCAGTCAGGATTAGGCCCCTTTGAGACTGGCAGAACAGACTGAATACATTAACTACTGTCAAATATTGTCACAGTATTGTGTCACATTTCTCAAGGCAAAATTTCACCTTTGATGCCTTTCTCCTGAATTGAAATACATCATTTATCTTGAAATTTAAATGGTCAGTTTTGCCAAAATTTGATATATTTCCTCATTTACCTTTAGTGGTATCTTGTTATGCAGATAGTTTTGCTGTTATTTGTAAAAGCTTTCATAGTCTCTCGATGTGATTTCTGCTGCAGTCCAAATTAAAAGGGAGGTTCAATTGTGGTGCTCAAAGGATTAGAACAACCATGTCCTGATAATCCACAGTCCAGAGTGTGAACACTTTTACTGAAGCTACTTTCTGTTGAAGGATGGCTCTTTTTCAATGTCATTTTCAAAGGATTTTGTGTCATTTCTGCAATGTGAAGTTCCTCTTACCATCATTGTTTCAACAGAGAAGAAAGTTTTGATTTCACACTTGGTAAAATGTATCAAATTTCAAATCTGAGCCAAAACAAAATATATCACTTGAGGTAAATGAGAAATTGCATAACATACCAGCATCCTTTAAGGAGCTTTAATATATAACGTAATGCATGCATTGTGTTCACTGCACCTGTATGCAATATGGCATCATAGTGCACAAAGGCTTGACTGAACTAACTTCAAAGTACATTTCAGGTTTCTCTTAACCTCCTATGAGCTTTCATTTGTTTTTTATCCTATTTCACACTTAACTGTCTCCCATGAACCCTTCCTCCGTGCAGTCTTTCTCCCCGCCCCCCTTTTTGTTCATTGGTTCTGCTCCCTCCACAGCTGATTTACTAATCCCCATGTTTTCTCTCATGATCTTTCCTTTCCCTCTGCCCTATTTCTTTTTTCTTCTTTTCTTATTGTCCTCACCGACTGCTGGAGTTTGGCAGTGATGGTTTTGACTCTGTCAGGGTCCCAGATGACGATGTCAGCGTCAGAGCCCACGGCTATCCTGCCCTTACGCGGGTACAGATTGAAGATTTTAGCAGCATTGGTAGACGTGACTGCCACAAACTGGTTCTCATCCATCTTCCCCATGGCCTAGGAGACAAACAAATGGATGTTTAGGATGGTGCACAAAAACTCACAGGTACACAAAAGATACAAAACGCCACACATGCCGTCATTGCTCACCACGGCCTTGTCCCAGACAAAGCCCATTCTTTCCTCCACTCCATTGGTTCCCTCTGGGATCAAGGTGAAGTCGTCTCTTCCAATTGCTTTCTGTGAAGTGCTGTACGCACAGTGAGAACTGCCCACCACCTGGAGGTCACCGCTGTATCAAAAAATAAAATGAAATCATAAGCATATCCTCAACAGTGCAGTGAATAACCTGCAAAATACTTGGATGTTTCCTGCAGAGTTTTGAAATGTGGGGAACTACTGAATGGAGGGAATTCAGGCTGTAAAAATGACTGCAAAATCAGCTTTAAAAAAATGCTCATAAACACAAAGACAGAAGTTTCTACAATTAGCCACCAGGTGTCCTCATTGAGCACGTTAGTTAAAGTACAAGTCATGTAGAGGCCTGGGGCAGAAAACCAGCCTGCTAGACTAGTCAGAATGGTGCAACACAGCTGCAGTAGCTACCAGTCCCTAAAGCATTTCCTAGACAACATAGAGCTCCACCGCATTATCAAAAAGCCAGCAATCCATGCACTCACTTTACCCTTTTAATATACAAGAGGCTGAATCTGACTGATAGAGAGCTTTGATTACAGTCATTTCTGATATAAGGCCTTTTATTCTTTGGTTAATTACAGTAATTACTCTGTGATAGTGAGCTGAGAGATCATCACCTTAATGCCAGCAGAGTGCTTATTATGGAAATAATGGGCCTCACTTAAAACCACGAAGAAGTGGTTTTTCTTTTGTTCACGTCGCTAAAAAAGAACCTAAAAATACACCCTGTTGTTTCAAGAGAGGCTTCGGTACAACAGCAGTATCACACCACCGGCGTGACAGCATGGACCCGCCTTTAGAAGCTGGAGGTTGCACACGAAAGGTAGAAGAAGAGAGGAGGAGGAGGAGGAGGGAGCCACTCGGTAGCCAAGGCAACAGATGATGAAGGATTCTAGTTCCTGTGCTATTTATGGAATCGGGGCCAGTCAAAAGTGTACAGCTGTAAGTTTTGTGCATTATGTGCATGTGAGGGTGTGTGTGTGTGTGTGTTTGAGGTGAGAAGTGAGGCGGGTTTTGTGTGGAGCCCTTCATCCCTCTCTATGATACACAGGGATTATAACTCAACATACTATTATCACATACTTTAAACCCAGTTAAAGTGCTTTCTCAATGATTATAAAGTCCTTTATCTATAATTAAGTGTCCCTCACCTTCGCTTTTTTTCCTTCCCTGCTTCTCTTCATACACTTTCACCTTCTCTCCATCTGTTTTTCTTTTCAACTGAGGCTCATCTGACATTGTACGTTACACTAACAGTTGTTTGTGGCATGAATACTAAACAAATATGTGAGGGTAAACAGCAAGAGTCAGATGCTCGCAGGTGTCTGCTTTGGTGTCATTTGGCTGATTTGCATTTCACATTGCGCAGAGGTTATAGCTAAATTAAGAACTTGATCTGCCCTCACTCTGCATTAATTAGAAAACTTTTTACATGTTTTAGTGTTTAGGAAGGATACTGCAGGCTACATGTTGTGTCAGACTTCATTAAAGATAATTTATTTTGGGGAAGCACTGGGATCTTGCATTAAAAGACATTTAAACTTGAGACGTACCAGGCCAGCAGTGTGTGGAGATGGTCTGGAGTTGTTGGGTCAGGACTCAGAGGTGGAGATGTCACATAAGCAGCCGCCTTTGCCCAATTTTTGCTCCAGTAGTGAGAGCCATCAGTGGCCAGGCTAGCCGTAATTGGCTCCCCAAAAACTACAGAACCTGTGTAGGATGATAGCAGAACAGTAAACTTCCGACTAAAAAGAAACTGAAACCCAGAGAAGATCTATATATGATGAAGCACCTGGTGAACAAAAGTAAGAGAAGGAATAGAAAGCGACAGTGGCTGACCTTTCCTCCGAGCCTGAGTGATAGTGTCGGCTGCACTCTTGCTCATCACCTTTGTGATGTAGACCGGACAGTTCACACGGTTACCAAGAGTGATGGCACGGAACACCGCCTCAGCCTCCAACTGCATCGAAAAGGAATAAAGAAGGGTTAAAATCTTAAAATGATAGACAAACTGATTAATAGTGAGGGTGTGCGACAATTACCTCTTCAGGACGACTCAGAGGGTGGCCTTCAGGGCCGGTTATTCCCATTCCCAGGATTTTTTTTTGTTCCTAAAACACAAATTAAAAATGCTTCAGAATTATCTGCTTGCAGCATTATATACAGCACCTGTCAAGTCATGTTTTAGTGACTCTGGGTGGTACAGTGAAATATCTCATGGCCTGTCACACTATCAAAATATAAAGGTATGCACTGTAATCGTAGTGCGCCAGTGCATCATGGGGAGTTCATGCTGGCCTCAGTTACTGTGCTTCTGACAGAACAGAGAAATTAAGATAAAAACCAGACATTGACCTCCTTCCTTGTGTTTTACATCACTGTGAGCTCTCTATAGAGTTGGTATAGTTTTTCATCACCCACCTCCCTATTTCCATTACAGTTGGGTTAACAAGTACCTCATTATCATTCATCAGCACCCTCATTATCATTCATTACTCTAATTTATCTTCACATACATCATGACTTCTGCCATAATTGTTCCCCTTAATCTGGACTACCGTCTCCATGACCACGACTAATACTTGTCATCACTGCTGCCGGCATTATCAGCACCTTCACCCATACCATCTTAATCACCATTACATCATCATCATTACTATAATAACAGTCAACAGTAATGGTAGCCTTAGATAAACCTGTCATCCTAAGCAGCTGCAGCAGCAGCAGCATTAATCCTCCATCTCTCTTCTCTTCCTGAGAGTTATGTAACAAGAATATCTCTTAGCTGCAGTGCAGGTTAGAGGGAACTGTAAAGGTACAGAATTGTAGCACTTACCTGAGCAATCAGGTCTCCGTTTTCAGCATGAACTAATACCACAACACCCAACTGCTTCAGAAAGGAGAAAGCCTCATACAGCTGTAAAAATGATGGGTAAAAAAGCAAAAGAGAGATTAAAAGTTAAAAATTTACACATTTGCATTAGGAAAACTAATGCAGTATTAGTGATTGTTGCAATTAGTGGCTGTGAATCACACCTGGGAGTCTGTCATCTGGTACATATCCTTATAAGCCATGTACACTTGAAAGGAGTTGATACCTGGCAACAGCAGAAAGAAAGAACAAATGGCTTCAAAACACAGCAACAGAATAAACGGAAACTCAGAATTATAAAGACAAATTGTGAGCAAAATACAAAAACTGAGTAACAACCTTGTCTCATGTACAATGCAATGCATGTTTACATCTGACATCTGCTCCAAATAATACAATCCAACTTCGTTTTCAAAGAAATTGGTCACACAAGCAGCTGCCTTGGCTCAGACGGTGAATTACTGTGCAGCTGCCCCAAAAGAAAAAAACATTTGTTTTTACTTAAAACAGATTACAAGCAAAATTTGTTCTCCGCCACCATGACAGCATCATAATAGGAACAATGCTTCTCCCCTGTGCTTCACTATAAGAGGATTCAGCACTTGGCCAAATTGTTTCTAAATCGGTCCCTATTGTTCTTGTGAAATGTGTCCAAACGAGGGATTGAAACAAGAATTACAGCAATTACAGCATCTCTGAAATGTTATAGAAGCACAGGAAAACTGGTTTACCTTTCTCCTGCACGAGCAGCTCCAACTCGTCTTTGACAGTCTCATTCCACTGGGGGATGTCGACATGCAGAGAGTAATCGCAGCAGGCCTTTTTATCTGCAGCCTCCTGCCAGCACTCAAATGCCTCCAGCAGACTGTCCTCAGGCTGAGGGGTCACGTGGTCGACTGAAAGGCAAGAAGGGCCAAAAGTTAGGATGCAAAAAAAATGTGACGACTATTTTGCAGCACTTAAACTGTAACTGAAATGCACTGCATGTGTTTAAGCACATGCACTCACTGATCATGGTGGTGCCCCCGGCGAGTGCAGCCTTGGTGCCCTGCAGGAAATCATCAACAGGCTGCGTGCCCAGGAAGGGCTTCATCAGACAGGTGTTGACATCTATACCCCCTGGTATTACCATGCGGCCATTGGCCTCAATCACCATCACCCCCCCTGGAACGACCAGATTCTCCCCCACCTGCCTGCCAAAGACCAGACACACGAAGAGACAAAAGGATGGGAGGAGAAAGGCAGAAATAAGGAGGAGATAATCAGAAAAGATGTAGAGCAGGAAAATATATAGAGATGTGAGTGGAGAGAGAGGAGAGTATAAAGTATAAATTGTGACTACAAATTATTTGGTGGATTTTTTATGTCTGTGCAGTTCTTGACATACGCACTTGATGAGCCCATCCTCAATGTAGACGTCTGCATAGAAAGACTGGTCATCATTGACCACTCGCCCTCCTTTAATCAGCAGCCTTTCATTCTGCAGTGGAGAATTACAGGAAGAAATAAGAGGAGGGAGGGAGATGAGGGGTTGAATTTAGGCCTGACATTTTGGTATATTGCACAATCACTTATGTAATGCATGACCTTATAGCTGTATTGACATCGTGCAGTGGAGGGTTGACAGAAATGCATTGTCACACAAGTGCCGTGCATGGGTGGGGCCTCAGTGAAATTAATATTAGCTGTCATCTTCTTTTACTTAACTGCATGTAGAATCTTTTTTTTTTTTTTTTTAGATTAAAATCAAATACTTAATATTTAGAAGCCCCAGTGCTGAAACAAGCACGCTTTTGTCAGACCACCATGTGTCCACACCCTCCACCACCATGTAGGGTGCCTGGCAACAGCATTAGGAAGATGTTAGGTCTCCATGGTAACCAGTGATCATCCACGGTTTCACATGATGATAGCTGACAGCTTGCTGAAATCTCAGCGTCTTCAGCCATAAGGATGTTTACATAAAAGGGACAATATGCACACCTTCTGATGCATTGGTTTAACCCTGAAATTAGATGCTCAGCTGTAGTTGACCTTGGGTTAATTTGATATTATTCTGATACCACACAATGTATTATGCAGAATGCACGTTTCAGTATAGCTGAAAAGAGTTCACACAAATCTAATCTCAAACCTCCATGCTGGTAAAAGCAAGCAATTGTTTTTTGTGCGATTCCTGATTCAACCGTCACGTCAACCGAGTTAATCCCTGTGACAAGCGACGAGATTACACAACACTGTCCACTACACCAGGAGCGAGAGTACGCGCTCGCTTTGACACACAAGACAGACAACTGTCACCTCTCTTCGGGTTGCGATTTCACACAGGAGCAACATGAGAAGGCCGTCTGCACTTTGCTCTTCAGTAAGAATTTAATCCCCTTTGTGTTGGCGTGTGGAGCAGGGATTTGCATAGAAGAGAGCTCCTCCGGTTGTCGGTTGACCAGGCCGGGTCTCTTACCGTCAGATGGGGGATGCTGTTCTTTCCCTGGAAACCGCTCCCAGACATCCTCTCTCCGTCGCTCTGGCCCCTCCGGCTCTCAACTCAGAAGCCGATCTCGATGACTCCGGCGCCCTGCGCTGCTCTCTGCGCCCCTTTTGTCTCCCCCCCGATACGAGTTGAGTATTGTTTCCGTGTGAGAGAGACGGAGAGCGATGAATCCGCCGCCGCACGGCTGCGTCAGGTTGCGTGGAGCGCGCACAGCGAAAGACAGGTGACGGTACTTTGCGTGCGCGCTTGCGGAAAGCGTGCGTCTGCCCGGTGGTGTTCCCGGCGCAAGACAAAGATGGTGAAGCGGCAGCTATGTGGAGTGTAGCGCCCTCACACCTCCCAACACACACACATAGGTTCAACAGCTCACGTGAGAACACAACAACAATACGGCGCGGGGAGACTGAGAGTCGCTGTCCAGATCAGCACCACAGAAGGAATCATGTCACCGCGCACACAGGCTTCTTTTGCGTCTTTTGAAGAATTTGGTTTGAGCTACACGCAAACCCAAATAGGCAAACTGCAATGCAGCACACAACTTCATCATTTATGCAGACTGGAGCATTTGTCAGAAATTATTCAGGAGACAGCTCAGGCTTTCCAAAATAAGCCCACACAGTAGAAATATGAATGTAAATATTTATGTCACTTTTGTCAGTGAAAATAATAATTTCTGTTCTTTCTCAAAGTGAGATGACAGTTTTCCACCAGCTGGGCGTCTACTGCTGCTCGTAACGCAGCATATAAATGACATTTATTGAAAAGATAAGCAGATGAACCAAGGAGCACCCTCATCATTCTTACCTTCCCATCTGAGCCTTCCTTTACCGATGAGAATCTGACCTCCACACCGGTCCGTGCGTCCTCTGTATCCTCGGGTGAGTTGGTCAGTGACCCCTCCCGGGCCTCGCTGGACGTCTTACCGACGGGGTCACCGGTGTCCAGCAGCCTCTCCTGGCTCCCGCTCCTCGGGGTGCGGCTTCCTTTCCTCCCCACCGCGTAATTATCGAAGTCTATGGTCTTGCTCTCAAACGCGCCTTCCACGGAGCTAAACATCCCGAAGCTCTTCCTCTGGTTCGGCCCAGTGGTGATCGGTCCCGCCAGGTAGACCGGTAGCTCATCCTCTCGGTTCCACTGCCTTCTGCAATCAGACATCGCGGCTTTCCTCTGGGAGGCTCAGTCTTCCCCCAAATGTGAAGCGACTGAGACAGCTTTGCTTGTTTTTTTGTTTTTTTTACGTCTAACCGGGTCACAGTCACGCCTCTCCAGGCAGGCGCACTCGTTCGATGCTGTGAACTGTGAGAAGCAGCTCTCTTCGGGCAACCTAGAATTCCTCCATGATGCAGTGCTCCAGTTTTGACAGGGCTGGTGGCGTGTCAGTGTGCACTAATTTTGAAGTGAAGCAATGCTGTAAGAGGTAGTAACCACACCCAGAAAATACGCGAATGAAACGAGAACAAACGTGGGGTTTCTGTGCCCCTTTGTGTCTTGTCTCTTGATGTGGGGGGTTGTGTGTGAAGAGGTCACACCATCTGCGGATTAAACCAGCATGTGTCATCTTTTAACCCACATCTGGGGGGAGACACGCAAATGGTCCGTGTGCCTCCGGGGTTGACTGCTGTTGTGACACACTAATGTAAGACACTGGGCTTCGCTGAGAGCTGCCTGCCTCTCGGATCAGGCTGCCCACTGGATTCTTAAAGTGCTTTTTATTTCCACTGGCCAGAGTCTGACCTGTGGGCTCTGCTCATGGCGTGTTTACTGATGTGCGCCGAGGCTCAGGACTAGAATCTTGTGCCAGACATCAACAGATTGTCCTTCACATGGTCCGTAGGGATTGTTGGAAAGGGCGAAAGAGAGAGAGAAGCTGTGGAGCTACTGTCTTTCAGTACTCTAGCAGGTGGACAGTTCCCACCGGAGACATGAAGCATGAAACACAGCAGCAACACATCAGAGTCTGATCCCTCAGTGCACATAAACACACACTGTGCAGAATACGTTACGAAAAAAACACATGTGAAAAATGGCCTTTAGAGCACACTGTATTATTCTAGTTATTACTATTTTTAGTATGTTGTACTAATAAGGGGAACAAATGGACAAATCCTGTTCTCACTGTTCAGAAATGATCAAGATATGAAGCTTAATGGATCATCACTTAATTTATATTTAGCTGCAGGTACTTGATGTTAATTTACTAAAATATGACACATAATGACTTTATAGATCCGTGCATTTAATGAGGGAATAAATAGGGAAGCCACAATTAATCAATTAAAGTATCTTTTTTAGGGAAAATAAAGTCAAAATTCTCTGATTCTAGTTTCTTAAATGTGAATATTTTCTGGTTTATGTACTCCTCTATTACAATAATTTAAACATCTTTCTATCCCTTGGGTTGTGGTCAAAACAGGACATTTGAGGAGGTCATCTTGTGTTCTGGGAAACATTTTCCGCTATTTTCTGATAGTTTATAAACCAACCAACTAATTGATTAATCGAAAAAAGTACACACAGATTAAACTACAATGAAAATATTCGTTAGCTGCAACTCTTATTTTGAAAGCAGAACAGTACTATTTTCTTACATATATGTCTTATCTATCTATGTATCTATGTATCTATGTATTTATCTATCTATCTATCTATCTATCTATCTATCTATCTATCTATCTATCTATGTATTTTTTTTTTATCACTGATCACTGGTTGTCAAGCTACGTGTTGCTGCTCAGAAACAAAAAGCTTCAAGTTGGAATTTACATCTGATGAAAGTGAATTCAATGCAGGATGTAGATGAAATTTCATCCCTGTATTATTTGCATCCAGCAGAAATTCATAATACTCCCTGGATCATCATGCATTATTCACACAGATGATTTATTTATTTTTTTAGGCATTTGTAGTGTCACCTTATTATTAGACCCACTGGCATCTCAGTGGTCAGTCTTGTTGCCGACTGGTGCCATATGGAAGAGAGACACACTCGATTAAGTGCAGACCTACATAGCTTCAGACCTGGAACCTCATAATCTGCTTAAACAGAGAGATCACTCTGCAGCACATGCAGCCCCACTGTGCATCACTAACCTACGGCTTTAGAGCTTTTATTTTGAAATATTTTTACATTTCTTTAGCACTGAATTATAACAGTCTTCCAAGGGGCCACACATTGTATTAAAATCTTTTGCAAAACAGCACCTTCCAGGTTTACAAAGCAGAGACGCGCCACTAACCAATCAGGTGAGGCAGGCGTTTTGATGGACGTGTACTTCTCCCTATAATGAAGAGCCTGTTTGAAGTGGGCGGGTCGTAAAGTTGAGACGTTGTTTATAGAACTGAGTTTGACGGCAGCAAGTGTGCGTCTCCAGTTTCGCGGAGCTGTTGGGTCCGGAATAAACTCCAATATGGAATATACGCACAACGTTTAAAGTCAAAAGACTTTTTCTGTTTTGTGTCCTGAAGGAATCTGCTCATCTGGTACGTGAGTAAAGTTTCTTTAATGTATATTTCTTTTTGCTGAGTGCTGTGTTGGTGCAAGTTAGGCGTTGGGTAATTTACTGGGCATGCAGTGTCTGCATGGGCAGGACGAGAGAAACGCCATGCCATGTTCTGACAGGATGCTGTAATTCTGAATAACTGGAGTATTTCCATAACTGATTTCATGTTATATCATATTTTATGTTATTTACTTGCATGCTTTTGCGAGATAAGTAGTTAAACTGTTACAAAATGCCCCCACCCCACACTTTGTTTAGTACAGGATTAAACTAAATGTTTAATTCCCTGTCAAAACTCTCTTTTTACAAGGAAGGTGTCATATTTTAGTTGTAAAGATTGGGGGGAAAGGATCCTCCAGAGAGTTCACAGAGTTCACTGTCCAGCTGCATCTTCACTCATGACTCACTATTTGTAATTATCTTGACTATTTTCCTGATGGTCATTGGCTTATGATATATTACTCACTCCCTTTATTTTTCCAGGAAAGATGGAGAAAGATTTACCATCAACACCCTCAGCTGTCACCACCCAGAGGTCACGTCCCATCCTGGATGGACCCTCTCATCCCTCCCCAGGACAGATTCCTCCCTCGCCTGTCTCCAGTAGCCACTCTGCTGCTCCCTCCCAGCAAAACAAATCTCCATCCTCTCCAGAATCCAAAAAACCTTCTTCTCCACCATCCACACATCCTAAACCGATGGATTCCCCTACATCTTTAGAGAAACCTTTATCTCCTAAAACCACATCTACAACTGTTTCAACTAAACCTCCCGTCCCTGCCCCAAACAAAACACCGCTCGCAACCTCTTCCAACGCCTCTACCCCTCAAATCCCCAAAACTCCATCCTTTTCCAAGCTCAAATCTGCCTCCTTTGCATCATCCTGTAGCACAGATTCACCTCCTCCTTCCCCCACTACAGCTTCCGCATCTTCTTCCACTCCCCCTACGAAACGCACCTTTGCTTCCATGGCCAAGAAGGTAATAATGCAGGAAAGACTAAGAAAAGCAGAGGAAGAGGATGCCAACGAAGATGAGGATGGTAAGAATGCCTTCATTTTGAGTTTGGGATTAAATGACATGAGTTTTAATGACACTGACACCACAGTGACAGACCAAGGACTCATTGCTGTGCTGAGGCGATAAGCCTTGTGCTATGTTTTGGTATGTCTTTCCATGTGCAGCAGAGTAACTGAGCCCTGAGACAAACATCACTCTTGGCCAGAATAGGAATCACTTCAGCTGACTTTGTCTCCTCATTTAAATTCTACGCTATAAAGCAACTTGGCTTCCATTTCTGCAAAGTAAAGCACAACAATAGTGAAATAAACAAAGCAAATGAATTATTAAGAATGCTATAACATGCTGTTATTATTAGTAGGTAGCACATCGAGGTCCCTGCTGGTTTTACTCTGTGCCTGTTTTGTGTGTGTGTGGAAATCTCAGAGATGAAAGAGAAAATTCTCTGCATTCAACACATTGTTACTGTGACTGGTGGGTGAGGAGTGGTAAACATGCAGACATACAGTGTTGCAACTAAAGGCCTTCTCTATTTCCACAAGTGCAACACATACCTTTTTAGCCATTCTAGCTTCTAGACTAAAATGTCTCATCAACTATGACAAGAATAAAAACATTTTACTCCAAGTTGCTGTTTAACATTCATGACTAATAAATGTATTGCAATCAAATTTGATACACATATCTATGGTGACCAGGTAATCAATCTTAATGACTTTGGTGACCCCACATCATTTGTCAACATTAGGTGTAACATTAGGTTCATGCTTGTGGTTTTTAGTGAAACGTCTTGACAGTTGTTGACTGGATTGCCACTGATGCACAAATTCATGTCCCCTTCAGGATGAATTAAAAATTGTTTGTCCTCGTGGTGACGTTCATAATGCACCACCACCAGGTCCACATGTCATTTGTCACGTATGCTGATTTATGACTGCCTGCCAAGCTACTAACATTTACATTAATCTTAGCTGTACTTTTTATTTGGTGTTGTTTAGTAAATGTTTGCAATCAAACATAGTGAACAGTCTAAATGCAAAACAGCATGCTGTTGTGTTTGTGACCATGTTAGCATGCAGCATTTCTTTAGCTCAAACTACCACTTACACAGCTGCTAGTATGTCTGCTTAGTTGTTGATTCTATAACTTAATTTAATCTTAATTTGAGTATGTTGCTGTTTTTATAAAAATGGCCATGTTTGTTATTCTTAAATTCTTGAGTTAAACTGACACCATTCATCTCTCGTTTAAACTTTGTGATACTTCACTGATATTACATTTCAGAGCAGCTGGAAGTGAAACCAACATGTCGGCTTCCCCAGTAGGAGATTTATGATGAGCATGTGAAACTGTGACATTTGAAATAGAGGCTGCAGGTGAAGAAGCTGCACCCCTTTGCTTAAAGGACACAGGGGGAAACAGTAAAAGTTGTGAAACATGCAATTGACAAGTACTGGTGTGACGGAGGAGCTGAGCATGTTGCCACTGGAGCTAGGGGGTCTTGTCAAATGATATGTGTGTGGGCAGACAGAGGCAGACGTGCTTAACATGCTCACACTTTCACATCTACTACCTTTGACTTTTTGTTGTGCTCAAGTTAGAAGAAATGCAATCTTTGCTGGGATCGCTGTGAACACAAATTTTTGAGTCTTATGCAATCTACTGATTCAGACAGAGGTTATTGATTGATTGAGATTGATATATGTGTTAAATACATCTCACACCTTGTCCTCTCTCCTCCAGATGGAGAACCAGAGGAGGATTTGTCTGTGGAGCAGATCGAGGGGAAGGCCAAAGCCGGCGATGCCAGAGCTCAGCACAGAGTGAGTGAAAGCAACATGCTCAGACAGGCACTTGGCATTGTTTTCACTCCTGCTGGTTGACTCAGTCTGGTTGTGAGCGTGTTTCTATTTTTGGCCTCTTGGAAGATGATCCCGGGAATTCAGTGTAATACGCCAATATACTATTATACTCACAAACCATTAAGAAGACTATTACAGTGTATTGCAGCATGTACTGAATTTATGCAAATTATGTTAAAAATCTCTTGTCTGATATCACACAAATACAAGGGGAGGGGGCTAGAGGTGAAGACTTTATATTTAAGACCCACCAGCTCTGAAAGGGTAAATTCCTCGGCGGCTGCTTGTGTAGCTGTAACTTTCTCTTGCTACATGTCATGCATTTGCACATAACCAATCGCCCAAATAAGCACCGGGTGTGTGTATAAGAGAGCATGTCCAAACATGTGACCACATCAGTGCAGTTGTTGGATACAGAACACATGCAGGGGGGATTGGGTCAGGCTTTCCAATCATGTATCACAGTAAATCGGAGGTTTTGTGTTCATTGTTATAGCATGAGTGTAGCTTATTTGATCATTATTAGTATTTAGGTGTTCTGACAAAATACGTTTTAAAAAATTAATGCCAGTAAAGCAGGTGTATGGGATTATATTACTGGTGGTAAAATAGACACAGGAACATGTGATACTAATGCAGGACCACTTCTAATTTAAAAAAAAAAAACATGTCATCCCCTACAAATAGATATATATGATACTAACTTTGAATGTAGGAAGTAATGAAATGACGGTTAAGATTAGAAAACAGTCACTTGATATGCCACTGGCGCATCTGCTGCTTATGTCATTTAGGTAGAAAAGGGACAGTGATGGCTGCAGAAACAAGGAATTATGGGTTCTGTAGTCAGTACATTATGAGAACTTCACGATGAGCAGTTTTGACTGAATCGGCTTTCTACCAGTCACGTGCAACAGTCCCTTTAAATCCACTGACCCTTGAGGATTATCCACAGTAATGGGGCTGTTTCTGGAAATAAAAGTTTCTGTTGAATAATACTTTTTTAATGCTGTAAACACCACAAATACAATCCAGTTTTGCAGAACTGGGCTAATGCAAAAAAAAGTGAAGGATTTTCATGTGTATTTTTATCATTTTTTTTCACTAGATTATGTTATGTAACAAATACTTGCATGCAAAATTAAAATGCATTGTATGTCCGATTGTTCTTTAAGTACGTCGTCACAAAAGCTGATTTAATTGACATTATTTTGCTTCTTCACTGTGTTTCAGTTGGGTCAGCACTACTTGATTCTTGCCGAAGAGAAGGACACAGAATTGAATAATTGTCTGGCTGTTAATTGGTTGATTCAAGCAGCTAAACAGGGAAGAAAGGGTGCAGCGAGACTCCTGCAGCGCTGCTGGATCCAGAAAAAAGGTGAATGTTACAGAATCCATGATAAGCATGTGTTTATATTTATAGTTCTAAACTGTCTGTCACGTCCTGCTAGGAATCACTCCGGAGAATGAGGCTGACGTTCGCAAGTTGTCAACAGAGAGTAAGTTTGAGCTGGCAGTACGCAAAGCGGCCATGATGATGTACTGGAAGCTCAACCCAGACAGGAAGAAGAAGGTGGCTGTGTCTGAGATGCTGGAAAATGTCAGCCAAGTCCACGCAGTGCCGGGTAGGAGGCAGTGACACAATCAATGACACTTCAAGTACTTCTTGCATTGTGACAACAATCCTGCCTGGTGTTCTACAGGCGACCCAGAACGCTGCAGCATGTTGTGATGCCGTAGCCTCTGCTGTCAAAAATATCATATATTCCCTGTTGTGATTTCAGTGTTTGCAGCTGTCACAGTGAGCAGTATCACATGACACGCAGGCCTCCAGGGAAATGTTTAGAACTCATTGGTGCTGTGGTTGTTTCTCACCAACAGGTGGCACTGCAAGCAGGATTCCTGCCCCGACTTCAGGCCAGACCCAGAAAGTGCTGGAAAGCATGGTCAGCAGTGAATGTAGGTATTCAGTTAAAGTGAGAGGGAGAGACTGAAAATATTGTGTATCCATTTTTATAACCGTCTGCTTTGCGTCCTCTTAGCCAGACAGCTGGTGGACCTGGATGACTTTGTTGAGATGACAAAAAAGTACGCACAAGGCATTGTCCCCTCTAGTCCCCAAAGTGGCAACCAGGTCACAGCCAAAACAGAAAGCCTTGCACCGCATGATCATGGCGGGGAGGTAAAAAGACCCAGTTAGCAAAAATAGAGATGATCTGTCATCATAAGTACACACAGTCACTTGTGCTCTCAGCTGCAACACTTCATGTAGTACATATGTGAGGCCATGAATGTGTTTGTGTTTTTTAAAGCACAAGACAGAGCTTATCCCATCAGGATTCAAGAAGTCCCACAGAAGTTCTTGGAGTTTCGGAGGTGGGATGATGCTGGACACCAAGCAGACCGGTGCCATTCAAAAGGCCATGGACGTGAAATCACGTCTAATGGTATCCTCGTCTGATCACAGTTCAATATGTCACAGGGAATAGTTTAACATTTAAGCCATTTCTATGTTTCATTTATTTAAAAAAAACAAAAACTTTTTGCATGTTGTTCATCTCTGCCCGCCTTCATCTCTGTCTCTTTTCCCTTCAGATGCTGCAGTACCCATTGCATGCTGTTGTAGAGATGAAGGAGCACCTGGTCGACTGGGCATCGCGGGCTGGAGTCCAGTGGCTGAGCACCGTCATCCCCACGCAACACGTCAATGCACTTATTTTCTTCTTCATCATCAGCAATCTGACAGTGGACTTGTTTGCCTTTGTCATCCCTCTGCTTGTCTTCTACCTCTCCTTCATCTCCATGATCATCTGCACTCTGCGTGTTTTCCAGAGCAGCAAGGTGAGATTTTACTTTTGTTTTTTATTTAGTCATTTTCTCAGCATATTATGGCCAGTAGTAGTTCTCAGTCTGAGCATGTTTTAGCTTCTTAAGACCTATTTTATATAACGTACGCATTAATTAGAGTATAGTATGTAATTATTGCAACTGTATACATCAAAGTATCTAAAAGTGTTACTACTGTCATTAAAATTATTCCAGTAAATTACTGAATTCAGTTGCTGTTTCCGCATGTTGTTTTCACTTTTGCTTTGCCAAGAAAATGATTACTGATTTGTTTTCGGCCTCTTGTAGCATTATGGTAGCATTGGTTCTTTTGGTAGTGAAAAGTTTTAGTCATATAGTGACATTCCGTACAATCATAAAGCCTATTTTGAAATAATAAAACCAGACCAACTGTAACCAAATCAAATACTGCAGAAAAGCCACCATGCTGATTATGCACATATGAAATAAGTATAATTAGGTTTCAAAATAGGTCACAGTGATTAGTGGATGTTAAAATGCTGCTGCATTTACTTTTCTAAACTGCACCTTAAATCTGCAACACCTTTCCTCTTTTTGACGGAGCAACATTTTGTTTGTTTCCCAGACTTGGGAGAACTTCAGTGCCCTGACTTCTCTGCTGACACGTTTTGAGCCTGGCCTCGATGTGGAGCAGGCAGAGACAAACTTTGGCTGGAACAACCTCGAACCATACCTCTACTTTATCCTCTCCGTCTTCTTCGTCATTTTCTCCTTCCCCGTCGCTGATAAGAACTGGATCCCCTGCTCCGAGCTCTCCACTGTGGCTGTCTTCTTCACCGCCGTCAGCTTCCGGAGCCTCAGCCCAACTGCTGCTACATATGCACGGCGGGCAATGGCCATAGAGGTCTGTAACATGAGCGATTAGAGGGTGCATAAGTCTTTATTTATTTATTTGGACGGTACAGTGCATATTAATGAACATACAATGTCAATGGTTTACACAAGGTTGTGGTAAATATGCCAGATTTAGCACAAGGCTAATTTCCATCCGTTGTCCCACACAAAGAAGAAAAACATACAGGGATACAGACTTATGAACCAAAAAAGAAAGAGAAAAAAAACAAACAAAAACAACAATAGTAAAACAAAGACTATGATGATAAGATTTATTCAGACTGGGTTAAACCTACCCTAAAGTGCTACTATATCAGTAAAGTGCTTTCAAGGCATAGCCTGTCGTAAAGTGCATGTAGTTAAAGTTCCTGATTTTCTCAATGTTCACACGTTTGATTGTTAACCAGCCATGTCATACACTGTCTCTTAAAACGGACAAAGGTGGCGCTTTCTCAGCAAAATGTTGTTGTGTTTTACATTATTGCCATCACAACTGGAATCTTACACAGCAAACAGCTTGTAAATCTATATCTTGCAAAAATGAGCACAATTTTAATGCTTTTTAATGAGATACAAAAACAGCAGTCATTTCTTCACAAATATAATCAGGATATTACTTTAAGGTAGAAATTCGAAGGTTTAAAATTAACTTTATCGATGCACTTTTTTTCATTCCAGGTAGCCTCGTCTCTGTGTTGCCTGACCCAATTCCTGCCGGAGCACATGGCGGTGCTTCGTTTACTGGGACACACCTTCTCTACTCTGCCACTCGGGGAGTCTGTGGTGCTGAAGCTCAGTCTCCCTTGCCTGTTGTACCTTTACCTGTTCTACCTGTTCTTCAGGTGAGCAGAGTTTGGACATAAAGTCGTCCTCAAATTTATTCATACCCTTCCATTAAAGAAAAGGCAAAATTCACAATAGTCACTCAAATATCTAGAAACTGAAAAAAGTAATAATGAATAAAAATGTGCTAAATTATAATTTATTGAAAAAAGACACTACTTTTAAATTGTGGTTGAAAAGAGTAAATTAAAAAAACAAAAAAAACGGTTCCAGTGATTGCCTCAACAAAATATTAGTTTATGAGTATATTTTTGTTGAACCACAATTCAAAAGCAATGTCATGATTTTCATTAAATTTTTATTTATTATTACTTTTGTCAATTTCAACTTATTGCAGTGACAGCTGTCTTTTTTCCTTCTTTAATGGGAGGGTATGAATAAAGTTGAAGACGACTGTACTGGTCATTTGTAACACAATAAAAATAAGTGTCAGTATTCCTGTGACACTTAAAGCAACCCTTTTTCCTCACCTGTCCGTCTCTCTCGTCCCTCAGCATGGCGAGGATGCGTGGTTTCCGGGGGATTTACTGCTTCTTGGTTCCGTACCTCGTGTGCTTCATGTGGTGCGAGTTCTCAGTGGTGCTCCTCCAGAATTCGTCTCCAGTGGGTCTGATCCGCACCTGTGTGGCTTACTTCCTCTTCCTGTTTGCGCTGCCCGTTCTGGCGTTCGGTCTTGCCACCATGCTCTTCATCCAGATCTTCAAGTGGTTCCTTGAGCTGGAACTGACAAAGGTGATCGTGACCTTGGTGGTCTGCGCAATCCCCGTCACCCTGCGGCTCTGGACGCGGTTCAGCATGTCTATTCTGGATGTCTTCCGCTCATTCACGCACCGCGGCCCGGTCAAACTCATCTTACTCTGCATCTCCATGGTGATCCTGTTGTTCTCCATCTATGTGTACCACGCAGAGGGACAGAAGGTGTATAACTCCACCCTGACCTGGAACCAGTACAGCCAAGCTTGTGGGCCTCCTTCTTGGGAAAGCAAAGGCATGGCCCAAACACAGATCTTTTGTAGCCACCTGCACGGTCACCGAGTCACCTGGGCTGGGCGCTTCAAGCATGTTCGTGTGGCAGAGACAGAAAACGGGGCGCAGTCTGTCATCAACATGTTGCCGGTGTTTATGGGCGACTGGTTGCGCTGCCTGTACGGTGAGACGTATCCCAAATGTGAGCCAAAGAATGCTACGGTTGCAAACCTGACAGCTGCAGGTGCGGCAGCCAGTTCTGCATCGGCAACTGTTTCACTGCCCGTGCTGCTTCGAATGCAGGAGGAGGAAGAGTTGTGTCAGATCAAGGTTCTGGCCAAACACACATGCCATATCAAACGCTTTGACAGCTACAGATTTGAGGTGACAGTGGGGATGATCCGGGACGGAAGTGCAGAGACAGAGGACCCAGCCAGGGATATAATCTTAATGGCCAGCCATGAGTTCAGACAGGTTCTGCTAAATCTGAGCCCTGGTAATATGGTGGAGTTCAGCACCAAGCTGGAGGGCCGTCTGGGAGCCAGAGCTCCGGCCTTTGAGCTGAAGGCCATCCACTGCCTGGACTGTGTTTCCTCACTGCTGACTGGAGGCAGGCAGGTGAAGATAGAGAGAGACTGGAGACGTACCACGATGAGAGCCCTGAAGTTTGCATTTGATTTCTTCTTTTCTCCGTTTCTGTCAGCAAAAATCACTGCCTGAGAAGAAAAACAAGCCAGGGGCACTAAAGTAATGATAATTACTTGAATCGCTTCAGGATGTTTGCTTTTTTTTGGTGATGTGGTTACAAATGTAACTTATATTATTGTTTACAAATTGATCTGTGGATCTCCAGCTCTTATTTATATACTGACATTTCAAGAAAGTGATCATTTCTGAAAAATGTTTCAGTATTTTTGATAGTTCTTATTGTTAGTGCATGAGTTTACAAAGATTTTACTGTTTCAGTTCCTGTACAGCGGTTCAAGGATGGTCAGAACTTTTGCTAGAGCAAAGTCTGTGAGATTTTAAAAGTCTTTTTTTTTTTTGGTATTTATAGTGAAAAATATATACTTTTCCAGTACTGTGATGACTAAAAATGAAAATGTGCCAAATTATGATGGTCCCAAATTATATGCAGGGAAGCTAATGCTGGGTGCTGACCACCTCTGAATACTAGAGATAGTAGTAATGATGATGATAATATAAATTATATAACATTTGTTAGAAATATTATATTACCTGAGTAAATTATTATTATTTTTTTTGATCAAACTATGTTGCTGCTTTTGTATTTCGGAAAATCTTATGTGTATGGCGACTATGTTTGCATGTACGGTATGTGTACCTTTGTGTGTTTTTACATATTTAAATGCATATTTACCTATTTATTTATAGGTGTTAATGACATACATTGTGAGGCAGAATATTTATTTTTGGCACACGCTATTGGCCAATATTTTGCTTTCTGGTCTTAAAGCTTTCTGGTCTTAGTTCTATTTTTAATTGAGGGTCGGAGCTCCAATTTACATAAAATTATTTTTAGTGAGCCAACATAAAACATTGATCTTTTGTTTTAGGTTTACAGTAAACCTGCAGACTTTTTCCCTGTAGCTGTAGTTGCATTTTGTATTACACACTCTCACACCAAAGTGCCACAAGTTATAGTGTTTGGTCAAACCACACATCATGTCAGTTAAGTAAAGATTGATTTTCGAGTAAATCACTAGTCCTCACATTACTAGGTCTTATATTGCCAACAAAAAAAAATTGTCATGTTCATTCCATAGCGATATGGGTTGGTGGTGGAAATATTAAAATTGAGGTGATTTACAGGGGGCCTTTTAAATGGCTAGTGTAGAGACATTTATGTTGACTAAATAAGTGTCAGCTGTTAAATTAAAAATAATGTATCTCCAAATTAAGTGATTCAGGATTTTTTAAATGAGGATAGATAGTTAAAATACATTTCTTCTTGTATATTCTAAATATACAAAACAATTATGATTAAATTCTTACTATCTAAAAAAAAGAAGGGTAAAAAAAACGAGGTTGATTTTCATTGAGATACTTGTTCTTTACAGGACAGTACCACTGGCAGTGCATGAAAATCTTCTTACTTCTACACGCTGTTAAACTGTAACCATAAAGTACTTGTGAAGGACAATTGCTGATTGTTGAGTCCGTATACTGTGAATGTGAGTGTCTTTGTATCTAGTGATGGAGCTACTTGGGTGTCAGTTAATATTAAAGTGCTTGACTGAAAGGTTGTATCCAGACTAATAGTCAGAAATGATTTTAGTGATGAGAAAATAAGGTGATCTATTAAATGCAGGCAGACATAACAAGATCCAACACATTTCTGTCTGATTTCATCTTATTTTATTAATGCACATTCCTTTCATTCACCTCATTTGAGTTATGTTTTTGTATTGTTAGATTTCTTTTTTCTTTTTTAAAGTATGATAGATATACACACTAGTAGCATTGAGTAATGGCAACATGCTGCTGCTGTGCTCCCGAACACAAATCCTCTCAGTGGTTGTATGTGGTGGTGGTTATGATGCGATTACAACTGACTTGTTCTAAAACTACAGTTCACCACTGGAGGGCTGAGCCATGGAGCTTGTATAATGTTTTAGGTGGTCTGTCACTATGTAAACCGTTTTTCTTGTGGGTTTGTCATCGTAATGGATTTTTGTTCTGTTCTACACGTTGTTCGACCAATTGGTGCAAGATTGTGTCTGCATTCAGCAGCACTGGCTGACAGTGAAGACCAAAACATAGATGCTATAAGAAAGCCCACGTGTCCACAGACTGTGATTGTCTGCGAATTTGGAAACCAAAAGGAGGTGAAAAGTAACTACAAAGTAGACAAGTGCAACAGATATGATTACAATTTCATCTTTTCTTGGGGTTTGCGGTTTACACAGTGAACTATTGTTGATCATTTCAAATTTTGAAGAAGTGCAAAGGGACTTGATACGTTCCACCTCTGCACTGATTCTGCTTCTCCACCTGCTACAGTACACATCCAGACCACTTACAATAATCCCATCAGGGCCAAGGTCACTTGAAAACAAAGTACTTCACTGTAAACAATCAAATCTTGTCACACAATTCAGTCCAGCACAGACATCACCTTACTACTGTACATCCTAGGCTTTCAGTGTCGCACCCCAGAGTAGCATGTGGCACTGTGAGGTATACGGTATAATGACATTTAGGAGCCTGTGACATGATAAATTCACATGACGTTATTGTTTCTAAGTTCAAGACCTTCCCCGCAATGTACGTAATGAGCTATTGCACTGATGATAAACCTCTGGCCTTCAATCACACTGGACACAATTTAGTCATTACAACTTTGATTGGCTGAATCAGAGGTCTCATTGATGAGCAATGTGCTTAGAATCCAACGTTTTCCTGATTGTTAAGATCCCTTATCAAAATGTGCTTCTGCTTTATAAAATGAACGACGCTCATTTTAAATTAGCACGCTTAACAGCAATTAAACTTTTGTCTATTTCATGTGATCGCCAATCAGCCTCAATTTTGAGCATATGTGAGAGAATTCAACACTAACACACTGTCTGCGATGATTTACCGTGTGAGTGTGTAGATTTTAGACTGGAAATTACCTTGATGCAGCAATCAAAAGCCAACGCAGGCCTAATATACACAACAAAACCGGAAGTGTCGTTTGGTGCACAATTCACACTCTCTATGGCCAGCAATAACTACCTATGCACTGCTACAAGAAAATGAAAAAAGTGTGATTCCACAGCCTTTTTATAGATGAGATCTCACGTTCATTTACAGTGTACTCGACAAAATGCAACGTTTTAGCTCTCGGAAACCAAAATTGGCGCCGACCTTAAAAAAAGGAACACGGAATATTTACAGCTAACAGTAAAAAGAGAGTATACATTTATGTTTCCTGTAGAAGAAAAAGCTCATGTTTTAAAGCAGGAATACTGCTGTACTGTGTTGTTGTTAGTGCCATTATTGCAAAGTGAATAGGGCAAAGACTGCGGGGTCAATTATGCGTGCAATCTCCAAGAGCACTGCTCTGAGGGAGAGGTTCAGCTGCTGTTGTCACTCGATAGAGAGAGAAAGAAATAAAAGCTATACAGTAACACCATTCCTAATATCCACAATTGTGAAAAAAAATGTTTAGATTTAGATGCACTGTCTGTTAAAGTCATCCAGTCATCTCAAGACCTGTATGTTTTGTAGCTTTAGACATTCCTTCCTTGCTACCTAACGCATGTTGTGTAAAAAGTTACCAGATCATATTAGTGAGGAGTGCAACATTGTGTGATCAACAGCACTGAGTCATTGCAGATGGAGAGGTGTCCCTGCACCTCTTCTACTGCCCCTACAGTGGGGCAGTTGCACAAACATCTTCAAAAAGTGGGAGTAGAGTGCAGCAAAAAAACATGTCCTGATGGGCATCAGAGACATCAGTTCATCTCTGTGTTGAAAAAATGATTACACATCTTCCTTGGGGATCAAATAAACTGAATCGAATAAATAGTCTTGTTGTGTTATCATAAATCCAATCTTCTACATCTCAGTATGTTGTGAAACAAACGCTTTCCACTTCCCATGCCTTCTCTAAAACATCCAAATGTATTTGAGTCACTGCTAGTATTTCTGTGACAGTTTGATGAAAGCAATGCGTCTGCCACTGTTCGTGTTTCCGTTCCTGTCACTGTGCCTGCGTCTCAGGGTTGACACGATCCTGGAAGATGTACAGGTTGTTGGTGGCTGCTATGGCAATTATATTTTCAGATGGGTGCCAAGCCATGTGCAGGATTTTCTTGGTGAAGTCCAGGCTGTCGACGCCCACATCACCACGGCGACGCTTTCCGCCGGTGTACACTCGGCGGGTACGCAGCACGGCCCGAGGCTTGCTGCTTTCTCGCCACGCCTCCAGGGTTACACCTCGGCCCGTTTCCCTGTCGAACATCCGGAAGAAGCTGTTGTACGCCCCTGTCATGATCACACTGATCGTCGTGGAGGAGAGGAGAGGAGAGGAGAGGAGAGGAGAGGATGTCAAGAATGAGAATGAGAGGGAAGAGGAAGAAGTAAGATCATGGAAGGGTGAGGAGGCGAAAAAAAGGAAAACAAAACTGAAGGCAAGCGAATTGATTTGATGTCGGCAAAGCTTGTCACTGGGATTGATTTAAACGTCGGATAATGGCAGAGGCGGAGGAATCACTGTAAGCAGAAACACACTGAAACAACTGTCTGCTTTGCTTTCAAATGCACCTAAATACGCTGTACTTTGTCCATTCTTTACTGCCACTTACCTGTCTGAGCTGTTCCAAACACACTCAAACTTGTCAAAGATGCAGTCATTCTCGTAGAGTGAACACAGCTTACTCCTTAGGTATTCGTGGACCTGGGGATGATGAAGACAGTCGACTTTAGTTTCTGGGGTAGCTTAAGAATAATGTTCTATGTAGCAGCTCACAGGCATAACACAACACACATCTACAACAAACTGTATGTGTGTTGACATGGCTGGATCCTCTTCTCTCATGTATAAACACAGAGTTTCCAGATATAACACCAAAATTAAGCAACACAAGCAGAATGTCTGACAATTTAAGTGTCTAACAATTATTTTTAATTAGCGTACATTGTGTAATTAATCATTTTATCTATATAATGTCAACAAAATGTAAAAATAGCATCACAGTTTCTTAGAGGTCCATGCGATGCCTCAAAATCTTCAAGTGTATGTTGAATAATTGAATTAATTTCTGATCAATTAGCAATTTTGACAACCATAAACATCTTAGGCTATCAAAATGGTTGTGGATCAATTTCTGTTAGCTTTGCAATAAACTAATATTTACAGAACTAAACTGTATGTATTGTTAAATTTTCCACATAGATGTATGATTAGATGGACACACTAAGCTGTAAAAACTGTTGTAAAACTACAGCATGTGCACAGAGCAGTGAAACAGTGCTGTCTTACCTGGTACGTCTCCACTGGGCCTTTGTCCATATTCAAGTCCCACACCTTGGCGGTGAGGTAGTCTCTGGTCAGCAGGTAGCGTCCACTGTGGCTGAACTTGACATCCGACACAGAGGAGATAATCTCTGAGAAGAAGGACCGGCTTCCTGGATCCTCAGGTTCCTCAAAAACTGATTAGACATAGGTAGAATCAGAGATTTTGCATTATGAGACTGGAATTCCTGAATGCTCATTCCCGTATTGTAACACTTTATCTGTGCAAATAAGCTTTGTGATCTCTACAAAATGCTCACGTTTGGTATGTCTGTCACAGAGTGCGGAGGCTCTCATGTCACAGAGGCGCAGTGTTCCCTTGCTGCTGCTGTACACAAACAAGTGGCAGTGCTGAGGGTGGAACTCTGCTGCCGTTATCACCTCCGTCAGATCCTCCATGTTGGCTGGTTTGATGTCTACGATGTCTGAAAGGAAGATCCATCAAGGACCAAACAGCCCAGAGAACCTGAACACAAAATGAATGTAGAGAGAGCAGGGACTCTACAATAGAAGTGTGATGACTGTATTCATGTGCACAGGAAGGCTCAGTGAGGGAGCAGCAAATCATTTATATTAAATCATCATCCTTGTTAGGTTCTCTTCAGTTGTAGATGAACGTTCAATTTTTCATTACCAACATTTTCTACATGCAGACTCCTCAATGCATAATCCCCCCCCCCCCAAAAAAAGCAACCCCCAACCAACCCCCAATATGCACGCACACTCTGTTCCTCTCTCTCTGTTCTATTTGTGGTAGTCCTGTGTGGTTCAGTAGAAAGTGTACTGCTGAGTGAATTATTTAAACTCGTCTTCCATAGATGCCTCTACGATTTTCTAGGTCAGCTTCCATTTGAATGGGAAATCTCTAAATGCAGCAGGTCCTACATGCTACAGCCTTAATTCACACTCTGAGGCAGTACACAGGGCTTTGATCGAAACATAAATCCAAACATAGTCATGTGCTGGTTACATTAAATATGGAGCGAGGATGAATGGAAATGGACAAGAATGTATGCATGTTTACCATGCATGAGGTGGAATCAGGTTTGTGATATTCTATGCTTGGATTTAGATGTATGGTTTAGCTGTTTAAAGGTATATATTACATTAAAGAATCTCTCTGTATGCATGTCCAATGTGCTTTTTCTTTAATGAGTATCCCAGTGCATCCATGTACTCAATATACTGTATATGGTGACATATGCCAGTATGTGATGCTCAACAACAATCTAATAATTTTATTTCTGCAATGCACACCAATGTACACAGAATTTACTATGTCTTGTTTTAAGAGTATATTTTAACACAAAGTTTCAATAATATGTTGTTTTGTGCTGACTAAAATGTAATTATGGGTTTAAGCAACATACTAAGCATTAATTTTAGCATTATTTAAATAGACGTAATTGGAACCAAAAATGCATACTGACCTATTAACTTCAATGATTAAAGAAAATGCTAACTGATATGCACTTGGGGTTTTCTATCGATCTCTCTGTTCTTTTTTTCTATTGCAGGAATTGATTTTAACTTATTCAAGTATAATTCTCTCATTTGTGTTGCAAAAATAGTTGGGATGATACATTAAATATCTCCATAACTGTGAAAAAAGATAGGTCCAGTGATCAACTTTGTTCTCCTTTTTTGTGCAGTTTTGGGAATTTCATTCTCTGTGAAATCTGAGAAATGTCTCCAGCGAGAGATTAAGTTGCACAGAAAATCCGAGGCAAGACACTGAGCTACAGGAAGCAGAGATACTAAAAACAGTATGGGATGATCTAAACAAATCATGGCAACAAAGGATACTGAAACTACGGTCTGTGATGCCCAGGTGCCACATATTGATGCGCAGGTCATCAGCAGACAGGTAGGTCTCCCCATCGCTGTTGACCGAGATGGAGTTGACATGGTAGGTATGTCCATTAGCGAACACTCGTCTGGGACGAACCTCTACCATTAGATCTGTAGGTTTCAGCACTGGCACCTTGGATGCAGAAATGTAAACAATTGAAGAATGAAGGAAAGAAAAAGAGCAGGGATAAGAAAGAGGGAAACAATGAGAACAACGACAGAAAGGACAAAATCAGAGGGCACGAGAGTCAGGGATCATATAAGGGCAAGAGCAAAGATGTAAAAGGCAGACACCTGACTTGCCGATTTGCTGAATGTGAATCTGATACATATTTGACGTGCAGGTGTGCCTGAGTGTGTGTGTGTGTGTGTGTGTGTGTGTACCTGCAGGGAGGTGATGGTAGAGATGTCCTTGAGCCGTCCCTCCTCATCTTTCAGGTTGTATCCCTCTGGTCTCTTGTCTCTCTCACTCACCTTCCACAGTTTAATGGTCTTATCTGTGACAGGCAACAGGATTTTCACATCAGAAGTTCAAGTGCAGAGAACATTGACAATAACTACTACAGGCAACTCAAACAGCTTTCAAATAAATTGTCAGGAGAAAAGACAACTAATAATAATATATTGTGTTAATATAGACAGATAAAGAAAAGAATCCAGTGAACAGATTTAGTTTAACATTGTTGTAAATTTCACCCTTTGTAAATGGAGCAACATTTGTTTCAAAGCATGATCCCTGTTTCACAGACTTGAGAGCAATTAGATATAATTAAAACACAGATTAAGTTCTGTGGTTTACCACTGGCAGGATGGTGTGACTATTGTACCCACAAGTGAGTTTCCAATTACTGGCCTGATGTTATTTTATCCTACTCAGGTCATAAAAGATGAAGCACCCATGAAATAATTTCAGGAAATGGAGGTTGAACTGATGTTTGTAATTCACACCACAGCCGGTCTTCGGAAAAAATCTTTTCTATTTAGGGGACTTGTCTTATAGCAGAAATTTCACCTAAGTACACTTGTTGTACTTTATTCTAGCACAACTAGAAATCCATGTGATCTTCGCCTAGAAGTTGAGATGTCACTGATTTCTCACCATTGGTGGAAAGGAGGAAATGTGCTGCATTCTGTTGTGGCAGCCATCTGATCTTGTTGATTTTCTCTTCTATCTCCAAACTCTTCAAGTAGTCAAAATCTGGCTCGTGGCTCTGAAATGTGCTGTAGACGTTGTATTCCCCAGAGTCCCCGGTCTCCCCCACCTCCTCCAACTCCCCTTTAGACTGCCCAGGACACACAGTGGAGAAAACACAGTTTTCAGTGAAAACTTTTACTGTATGTTCATAGAATCCATAACAAAAACTGCTGTGGTTATATGTGGATTATACAATGACTGTTGCAGAAAACTTTGGTACAGGAAGTAGGCATTGTTAAACTGACCTCAATCTCTCTCTGAAAGATGACCACTCGGCCACCTTTATCCCCCGTGGCCAGCAGGTCCCCTGTCTGGTTAAACTCCACTGTAGAGATGACATCAGCTGGGAGGAAGACAAGGAAGTGTGTGGGGGGGCAATTATGAGGTATGATGGTTGAAATTAAAAAACAAACAGAGAGACAGGAAGAGAAAGAGATGATAGAGTAGAAAGGGTATTAAGTAGGCACAGAGCAAATGAGAGGCAGAACATTAAGAGAGCATAATAAATGTGGACAGAGGTGGGAATGAGTAAAAAAAAAACACTGGATTTTTATAAAGTATCCACTTCAAACCACATATTTGTTCTGCTACAAGCTCCTGGAACACCAAACCATAAATCAAACATTTGTCTCTAATGGGAGAATATGAAACAAGGCCAACAACAAGTGTTTCTTGCTGAGTGTTCAATCAGTCATGGACTGATCAATGTCATCATCTATTCCTTTCATCCAGTGCTGCAGGAATAATGCACCCATGAAGCTGAAATGCATCTGTCCGATCATACCAGCATGTTATCCGACACCACAGCAGTGACACTCAGTCTGCTCTACCTTCAGTGACGTAGTCTCGCAGGAAGGTGTGGTTGATTTTGGGGCTCTCAGCGTCCTCGCCCATCTGAAGCTGAGGGAGGCTGACCCGCCAGCGCGCCCGTCCTGAGGGGAAGGGTCCAATCCGTAATCTCTCTCCCCACCCAGGCTCCGCCCATGCTGCTGGGGCCTAGCGGAACGGCCTGGAACAAGGCATCCTGGGAAACCGGCCGACCGGAAGGAGAAGAGGCGTGACAAGGAGAAGGTGTTGGACGGGGTGATGGAAAGGGACAAGAAAGAGAGGGGTTTTTTTTAGAAAGAGAAGGAGGGAGTAAGAGGAAAGTAAGATGCAGGAGGAGAGAGAGAGAGAGAGAGAGAGAGACGTGGATGGGGAGGCTGGTGATGAAGAGAGCTTTGGGAAGGAAAGAGGAGGGCCGTCATTAGGTAGGCTGACAATACGTGCACACAGCATGCCAAATGGTGTGACCTTAGTTAGACATTCAACACGCTCATTAGGAAAGACACATGTGTATAGATGCACAAGGCCTCGTCAGTGTTTCATATGAGAGGGAAAACAACAAACAACTAGAGCTGAGAGAATATGAATCCTTGTGTATGCATACAGAAATAAGTACAGGATGAAGACGGCATGAAAATATCTACTGCAACATTCACTCCATGCAGCCCTGGCAGCGGTGATAAATGTTCCCAGGGTGTGGTAGTCCTCTCTGCCTACTTTCCAGATCCCCGCTCTCACACGCACGCACAAACGCCGTCTTCTCAAATAGATAGTCCTTGACGGAGATCAGAGGAGAATGAGATGTCTTGCCTGTGCTGCAGGAGGGAGGGAGGACAGGCCTCAGCACACCTACCAGTCCGCCTGCCACTGCCGCCGCCGCTGCTCCTGGTATTCCTGCTGCTGGTGTGTTTAAGGTCCTCTACTGCAGTGTACTCAAGCAGGCCTGCGTGTCTGTCGAAGGGAGAGGAGAAGGGACAGAAAAGAGAGAGCAAGGGTGGTGGTGAGAGGAGGAGAGGCAAAGGAGAAGAAAAAAAGAGAAAGAGAGAGGGATAACGAGGAGGATGGAGGTCCGCTGCCTGCTGATGCTGTGGATCTGATTCTGTGCAGCATCCACTGTGTCATGGCAGCCTCCTCCTGGAGCAGCCAATCGCAGCACAGCTGTCACTGGAGGATCCACCCACTGCAGGTGATGAGGAGAGCCCAAGACCAGCAGAGGGAGCCCTTAAATACTGAGAAGTGTGTAGTTTGCACTTTCTAGTGTCAAAATTGAGCGTAATAGTATAGATAGTTGTTTTTTTTGTTGTTGTTGTTGTTTTAAGACAAAATTTGAATCAAACAATAGGTGCAGGGATTTCTGTCCAGAACACATCAACAGAACTTGAAGGCTGAATGAGACGAAACTGATTTACTTCTTAATGCCACACTGTTTGGCATTCCCTCAACCAAAGAACAAGGCTCCAACCATTTAGCTTTTACATTCTCCCTCTTTCTTACAAGAAGTGCACAACCCTTATCATGGTATACTGAAGTGACGATCTAGAAGACTCTTCAAAATTAAACAAAACCTTGTTTTCAGAGTTTTCCATTTTTGCACATCCATAAGTCCTCTCCTTGAAAACTACATGTGAGGTTACCCCCAGCTACTGTTCTAACCCTGACTGTGTGTCTTCATTAGAAACAGGTACAGGTTATTTTCCACTTTTTTGGTTTTATGTTAGCTTTAATGTTGTACATTTTCTTTATCACACATTAACACAGTATACAGCATTCTGCAAAAGTCCATATAAAGCTTTTTATCCATAATGCTGGCCACCAGTGTTTAGATGGATTAAAAATGTTTACCTTGTCTGTTTTTTTGTTTTTAAACATAATACAAAAGCATGCCAGAAACACTGATACAACAAAAAGCAACACTTTAATATGTTTAACATGCAAAACTGGAATATTTGGATATATATTTAATCATTCTGTTTTTATTTAATTTACTCATACGAAATCATTTACATTATGTAGCTGATAATGACACCCAATGTTTTTTATGTTTCTATAGTGTGGCTATTATAGTGATCTCCGTGTTTTGTGCGGTTTGATGTATTTATTGCTGGATTGTGGCCTATGATTCACTTAGGCTTTAAATGCTGGAGTACTGGTGCTTTGTCACTATACAAATAAACAAGTAAAATGTGAACTCTTACAGTAAATCACTCAAATCTGATTAATAGTTTACAAGAAACTTAATTTACTGGATCCTCGAACCTTCTTTAGATATCCCAAATGCACTTGGCAAAATTGAAAGAGCATCTGCGCCAATTTATTATGGAGTAAAGCCTCAGGTTGGAGCCGCTCCATCAACTCTATAACGAAGCTTTAATCGGCTCCCTTTAATGAAGAAACCCGTGGTGCCAGATCGGCTAAATAAAGGTCAGGGGATTACCTTGACGCAATGGTTTCCACGGGCTCCCCATCGCACTCCACTCTGTCACGTCCTCAGTCTTGCCTCAATACCTCCTCACGGTTCAGTCGTTTCTCCTGGATAACTCAACTAGGAGTGGAAAGCTGAGTTTACCCGATCTTTTTTCGCTTTACCTGAGCGAGGGAATGCCCTGTCTGCACTCTGAAGCTCTGGAATCCATGGAGTCTGCCAGTAGGACTCCCGGTGCGTCCCCTGATGCTGGCGCACAGACGTCCCTCCGCAGGGAAACGGTGAGGGACACGCCGATGGTTCAAGGGATGGGCTGGTTCTTTTCCCCGCTGTGGAGTCCGCGGTCCAAGACGCGCGGCAAGAAGTTTGGAGACGGTATGAAGAGCGACCAAGTGGAGGCCTGGTTGGACGACCACTCTGACTTCACCAGGGCGTACTTTTTACGCAGAGCTTCAGCGTAAGATTCTCTGTTTTCCCACCACTAATGTTCCTCACAGCTAAAGATGACTTTTCTCATTCTTTTCAGCCGAGGCTTTTAATTTGAAAGGTTGTGTATTAAAAAGGGTTTATCATCTTCTTCTTCACATTTATTTGTTTATTTTTTCTTGATACATCTGATTACATTTCAGGTTTTGGCAGTGTTGGGATCAGTTATGTCTTTTTGGTCTGGTTTTATTGTCCTGAAACATCTGCCTGTATGCAGCAGTTCGAGCAAAGCGTGTCCAGGGTGGGATGTGTCTTTTAAAATGTTCTGGACCCTATTTAGGCAGGCGGAAGAGTTCTTCCAGAAAGAGGAGTGCTGTCCATAACTTTTGCACAAAATTACTGGAGAGCTGGATTACATTGTTACTGACTGCTGTAATACACAAACTGTCACTTCAGTCCAGGTTTTCATTTTTACTTTCCCAGTCAAATAACAAAACCTGTCTTGACTGTGATTTCAGGGTAAGTCCACAGCCGGAGATGTCCCCCCTGCCGTCCGGGGTTTCCAGGAGCAGCTCCGACCACACCGGCCTGTTAATGAAGAGTCCTCACCGCAGATCTTCCTCTCCGATGACCAGCTCACACCTGAATATCTCATCTTTGACGGACAGACTCAAGCCCTTCGCTTCCAACCTCAGCGCCCCTGAGTGGGTGGACCGATTCTGCCCAGACACACTGAGAAGTCACTCGCCTTGCTCTCCCCGCTCTTCCTCCCACTTCTCTTTTTCCCCCTGTCGCCCGCTTTCCCCCATCTGCCCCTGCTCCCCAGACGTGCCCCACTCTCCACAGCTTCTGACGCCAACTGCGACGAAGACTAGAGCCTGCGGTCGTGATGAGGGCTGCCAGTGGATGATGGGGCTCCTGGGAGGAGGCCTAAGATGGATGGGTTCTGTAGCAGAGCTTTGCCAGGAGGCTGTCGGGCACACTGGGGAGCTGCTGGCAGCTGAGGGCAGTTCGCTCTCTCTCATGAGGAAAGACTGCAGTGGACGGAGCACCTTGGAGGAGGTGGTAACCCTGACAGCACTGGGCTGCTTGAGCGAAGGCAACCTGTACAGCAATGCACATCTGGAGCTAGTGAAGGGTATCATGGGATGCGTGTTGGCGACAGGTTCACCAATGAACCTGAGGGATACGTCCGAGGTAAATCTTCTTGCACGTGCCATGGCTTTACATTTTGTAACAAGCAGCGTAACAGATTTCTACCCATGAAAAAAACATGCTTGTTTGAGAGCACAGGTGGTGGATTTAGTATCAGGAATGAGGGCTGTGCACCAAATAAGTCTTGATAGCCTGTTTTTAGACGATGGCACGGTTATTTCTTGAAGTGTGGGTGTGTGTCAGGGAATCCCAGATCACGCACTTACGTTTAATCCTTTTAGAGATTTCCTCCACTGGTAAACCTGATTACGAAGAGAGTGATGTTCTCTGCCATACTGCCATGTGTTGTTGACCTGCATACACACCCACACACCCACGCAGTGAGGGAAGACGGCACAGCTCACTTAAAAGGCTTACAGATGGTGGTGCCTACAGCAGTTTTCCTTGACCTCATCATCAGTGTGATTAGGAATGGGTGCCAACGCCTGGCAGATTTGGACACCAGGTAATCCCAAGTCTGCGTGGGTGTGGATGGGTTGTTCTTGATAACCTGTTGGACATCAAGATTCCTGAGAAATGTGGGTATTTCTGCCCAAATGTATCCAAGGCCGATGAGCGATACTGACCAGACAGCTTGAGGAGTAGATAGAGTAAAGTTTGGGTTGGTGCTGAAGTCTGTTGCTGCTGCATTCCATGAAGATCTAATACGAAAAACTGTGCTATACATGTCTTAGACACACAAGTGTTTTGCAGTTAAGTAAGCATACTATTGTGTTCTTTGTTCACATCTACAGGACCCCAGATTCAACTTAGATGTTGATCAATCATCAAAGATCAGGAGTGTTTTGAGTGTTCCCATCAAGAACCACTGGGGAGAGGTAACAGTCATAACCACTACTTTTCAAATCATTTAAGGTGATTATGTATTTTTTACACATGCCTGTAGCTTAATCGGGGTAAATATACACAGTCCAAATGAATTTCAGCGGTATAGCGTCCGTATATTGTAACAGAGGTTATAATGCAGATTGCATAATAATAAACATCTTTTTGTTGACAGTTGGTAGGTGTAGTGGTGATGATCAACAAAAGAAGCGATGGATCACTTTCTGCTTTCACTAATATGGATGAAAAGGTGAGTGACTGGAGGTTTGTCATATTTTAATAATTACTACAGGGCACCATTGGTGTAGGGTTTTGCCTATTGTATACTTAATATGGTATGGCCAACCCATTTAACTTCACAAACTTTGTGAAGAACTGACTAATGGGTGTCTGCTAACAATCTGAATAAATCTGAGTTAAGACCGAGTTGAATTTTGCTGACCAGGTGCTGTCCAGTCACATGGATGTGTTGGGGATGGTCTTGGATAACATCCAGCTGTATGAGAGCTCCAGACAAGAGGCTAAACGCAGTCAGGTAGCATCAGCAGAGAACAATATGGAATCTATTGATTTCTACGAATGCATGTGTGTCTATGTAATCCATGTATCTGTGTGTGTTTGTATTTGCCAGGCCTTGATAGAGATGGCACAGGTATTATCAAAGGAGCACCAGTCCTTTGAGGTTCTGCTGAGTAAGATGGCTGCCACCATCATGCCCTTCACACATGCTCAGTACTGCACCATCTTCATCCCCAGCGAGCAAACTTCAGTCAGGGAAGACAAGGTACATCATCCTATTTGATTACTTTACTTGTTTGCTTGTAAAACACATACACATTTCCTGTAATCCACAGTCTGTTCTGTTCTGGTGGCAGGTTTCATTCTCACGTGTGATACACTTGGAGTGTGAGGAGCTCGGATCAACTTGTCAGATCTACAGAAGGTATAAGCCGCAAACTGCACAAGTCCTCAGCGCTAATTTACTTCACATAATTTAGGATTTCTTTTATCTAATACTAACAGAACACATAATCTTTCAGGGAACGCAACATCAGCGATATCGATCCATCGTATGCCTTTCAAACACTGATGGCCATGGAAACACTTAATATGTCGAAGAGTTCTGAGGAATCAATGAGGAGTCTCATCTGCTCTCCTGTTAGAAATGAAAGGTCTGAAAATGTTATCGGTAAGTTTCTGTCTTGAATCTTTTTTTTTCTTTTTAAATAATAATTTTTTACTCATCTGCTTCAGTTCTCTTTATTTCTTATGTCTTATTCATGACTTATTCTGGCCAATATCGACATACAGGCATATTTTTTTCCATGTAATTTGGAAGAACATCAAGTCTCTCCTTGAGTGGAATTGGCATATTACTCTGCCTATTATCTTATTATTTTTATGTAACACCTTCAAACAAACTGTAGACTTCCTCCTGCTTTAATAGGCTTGGGTGACCTGGAGCACTCCTGATAATATCAACAATCGGGATAAATTTGACCTACTGTCTCTAACAAGGTGCAAAACAACTAAATAAATGTAATCTCTGACCTCGTATGCACCCTGGCGCTTGGGACACAGTGTTGAGCATTAGTCAGCGTCGTCATTATCCGTTTGTCGGCGTTCATTTTGCGACGACGTCTATATTTAATTTTAAAACCTTCATAAGCCGATACAGATGACATGTCGGTAACATCCTGCATCTAAAATACTGCAGTACGTGCATTCACACTTACAAACTAAATGTTTAAAAAAGGGAAAGGGAAGGGAAGTTGACTGTTTGTTACTAGTTTAATTAAGACTGCTAAAAGGGATTCAATTTAACCACTGAAAACTATTATGCAGTGCGCTGAATACAAAAAACAATCGTATATCCCCCTCTCAATCAGTTCTGTTTCTTCTATCAAAACTTATACTGTAACCCCCTAAAGATGGGACACCTCTCAAAACGTCACGCTCATACTGTCAAAACTGTCCATTTATTGCCATTTAGCTGTGTGCCAGCTGACAAACAAACGGAACAGAGACTCGGATGAGGTGGAGGCCTTCAACCGATACGATGAGCGCCTCCTGGAAGACTTGGCAGTGTACTGTGGCCTGGCTCTGCAGTACGCTCAGGCTGTCCAGATCACAGAGGAGCGGCGGGCCAGTATAGAAGTCACACAGGAGGTGGGAAAACTAACTTACCCCATACTACTCATATCTTTAACTGAAAGTCTGGTGAACTTTACCAGCTGTAGACTTCAAACTTCAAACTACAATGACTAAAAATCTTGCCTGAATGTGTGTTTAATTTAAACTTGCAGGTTCTTGCGTATCACATCACTGCAGCAGAGGAGGAAATCCAGGCATTGCAGGTGAAGTGAACATTTTCTCTCAGTCCTTGTTGCCTTGCTACAGCTCTTAGCCTCTCTCTACATCATCGGTGTGATATCATATATTAGTAGTAATGATCTTTACAAAAACAAAACAACAAAAAAAAAACGAGCATGTACTTCCTCCTTCGTTCTATTTCGATACCCCTCCCTCTTCTCTCTTTTGTTCCCGCTCATTGGATTAACAGGCTTTAATCCTAATGTCCAGCTAATGCTCTAACAGGTTAAAGCGCTTGATGAGCTGCTATCACTGCCTGTGAGTGGCAAAGGTTATGCTAACCTCCACACCCATGTTAAACCTAGATGACTTCCCTGCACGTACACTACATGGGGGGAGGAAGGAATCGCACCTTATTTTGTGTGTCTTGAAGTGCATGTTTCAACAGCTTGTTATTGGTCATTTGTGTTTTACAGGAGGCCACGATTCCTCCTTCTGAATCACTGAATATTCTAGACTTCCATTTCTCCGGTTTTGCCCTGCCAGAGGACCTGACCACTCAGGCCACCATTCGCATGTTCCTGGACCTCAATTTGGTGCAGGATTTTAGCATCGATTACAAGGTAGCCCACTTGCTAATAATTAGGTTTCATTGCAACAGCTGAGAAAAGCAGCACTATTGCTTAACTGTGATATCACCTAAGCGTGGAAAAAAGCTATTTAAATTAGTTTATTGCAGGCTTTTGATAAAACTACCTGAACACAGTTGTTTCATATTAATGCAGCTGAATTTCAGTCACATTAAATCTCTTGTACTAGACAAACATGCTTCTATAAAAACGGCGAGCACATGAAACAGTAATCAGCTGCTATATGTTAAATTTCAAAGATGTAGTTTGCCTCAAAGAGTCAAAGAACTGCTGACAAACTTAGCAAGAAAATTAAAAGCATAAAAAAGTCACATAATTCAGACTGATTCCTAAATAATTTGATGGCTCTTATATTATTTACCACCTTTGACACACGTCTCTCCCCTCCAGAGTCTCTGCCAGTGGGTCCTGACCGTGAAACGTGGCTACAGGAACAACGTGCCTTATCACAACTGGAACCATGCACTCAGCACTGCTCAAAGCATGTTTGCGATGCTCATGGCCACAGACCAACTACAGGTGAGGGCATGTGTGTATCTCTATGTGCATGTTTTGGTGAGCGGCAAAGAAAAATATCGAAAATGTTTCCTGCCTCCTAGACCTTTGCATGCTGACTGTCATGTTTGTAACAAAACCACAATCATGACAAAATTATATTTAAATACTAGCGAGAGTGGAATAAGTGATATGCAACAGCATCAAATTCAGTACCCACATGTATGTCTGTGTGTGTGTGTGTGTGTGTGTGTGTGTGTGTGTCTTTTTATTCAAACAACACAACATGGAGAGCATATTTGCCATTTACATAACATGGTGCTGATTGGCCACATGGTGTAGCCATAATTAGCAAGTATCAATAATTTGTCACATTCTATAAATGCAAGCAGGAAAATGTGTGCATCCCCAAATTTGAAGGAAAAAAAAAGAGCTTTGGAGAATTTTATGTATGTTGGTGACAATCTGCTCGACAGTCTATACGGCTGTCGTTGTATATCTTGATGTTTGTCTATCATCTATTGAGTCTCGTCTGTTTTGAAGTTCTGAGGCTGAGCTGTTCTAAACTTTGTTTAGGAGTCATTCGAGGACTGCTGGGGCTCTTTGGTACAGAGCACCCTTAATTATTTGAAAGAGGATTAATTTTGGACTGCCCAAACAACTTAACTGCTTTCTGTGGGGATCACACAACAGTCTAAATCTCTACTGACGTGACCTCTTCAGGCCCCCTTTTTCAGTCACTCTCTCTCTTTCCACAAATGTTGGTGACACTGTATTAGAACGAGAGGTTGTGGATCCATTTTTCATCGGTTTGGTCAGATGTGTTGAGTATTTAGGTCAGTCAGTATTAGTTGACCCTTAGAACATTTTAATGGTCCTTAGATTGCTAGTTATCTGGGGCAGCTACAATCAGCACTGGTCCTTTGTCTTCCTATATGTGCAAAGATGTTTGGTATAAGCTTTGACTTGCACATGGACCATGAACTGCACATCAGAATCTGTGCTAGCTTAGAAATTTTATTTTATTTTATTTATTTTATTTTTTTTAACGACAAACTTGAACTGGCTGCACACTCCGATATCTGTGTTTCATGTTTCTCAGTTTTTCTCTTTTAAAAATTTGAGCTTTAAAATTTTTTATTCAGCCTTAAACTGTGCAAAATGAAAGAGCTACCCTTAATTATTATTTTGTTTATTGATTCATCTGCTTGTTATTTTCTCAGTTTAGAAACTAGTTGTTTTGTCTGTAAAATATTAAGATAACAATAATCAGACAATAATAAAACAATAATAAGACAAAACTTGTTAAAAACGTCAATCTTGGTTCTTCAGACGTCAAGCTGATGTCTTTAAATGCGTCATGTTTTCTTTGATCAGCAGTGATAACCCAAAGATATTCACTTTACATTTATAGAAAATGGGGAAAAAAAACAGTACATCTTTTTCACTAACAAGTGTAAAATCTCTATGAAATGACACAAAACGCAGAATGTGCACAAACTGCAAAGATGTATAAAATCAAACACTCTTCACTGTAGACAAGCATAGAAAGTTTTTTATTTAGTACCTTTATTTCACACTTTTTCTCGGTCCATCTCTTTGTCTTTATACCTTAGACAATATTTTCCCGCCTGGAGATCCTCGCATTGATGATCGCTACTCTGAATCACGATCTCGACCACAGGGGTGTCAGTAATTCCTACATAGAACGGTAAACATTACTTGTCCTTTCCTCATGTGTAATCCCTTCTCTCTTATTGCCAAGTTAAAAATACGATCTAATCCATGGCCGTGTATATTTTTTTCATTTATATCTGTCCTCTGTTATGCTGGTTGTTATATAAATTGTTCGCCTCATTATATAATTTCTTTCATTCCCACAGGACTCAACAGCCTTTAGCTCAGCTGTATGGACACTCCTCTCTGGAGAACCACCACTACAATCTGTGCCTCTTCATCCTAAACAACACTGTAAGGCCTGATCCACTCATCGTTTCATTCATTTTGACCCTCTCTTTTTCTTTTTTTCAAACTATACGTTACCTCTAGTGCACACAATCTCTTTTTCATCTGATCTGATTATTGTTTTCTATTTAGCTTTGTATGACACATATCCATGCATATTAAGACTTAAAAATAATAGGGTGAGATATATAAATACGCCAGCATGGAAGTCAATTAATTGCAGTTGAAACCACTTTTGTCCCTGACTGCATCTGCATGCATTTGGTGGTCACTAAGTTGTTGCCTTCAGTTAATTTTACTTCCTATCTCTCTCTCTCATCCTCTGCCAGGGGAGTCAGATTCTCAGCGGTCTGTCTACAGAAGACCACAAAACTGTACTCCACATGATCAAAAGGGCGATCCTCGCCACTGACCTGACCGTCTACCTGGAGTACGTTAAAACATTAAATGTCAAAGTAGCTGTAAGTGAAGGATTCTGCAAGTCTTGGTTTAACCCTGATACACTTGTTTCCTGTGACTGCTTTTATTAAGGAGAAGAAAACAATTCTTCAGTCTTGCCAAGAAAAAGAGAGTGAGCTGGAAGAGTGAGAAACAACGAGATTTGCTGAGGTGAGAATCAAAGAAATCAGAGTCTGGGACATGTTATAATGATGTGCCAAACAGAGTAGGGTAAGAGGATGGCTTTGAAGCTATTAATTTACTCCACAGATCAATGCTGATGACAGCAAGTGACCTCTCTGCTATCGCAAAGCCCTGGCCTGAACAAAGACGGGTAGGTCTCACAAAGCAGCGTTCCTGTGAACAAGCAGTTGACACTTTATCTCTAAATCACATTAAGTCCATCTCGACCTTAACCTCGTTCTTCCTCCTAACAGATTGCCAACCTGGTTGCCAAGGAGTTCTTTGCACAAGGGGATAAAGAGAGAGAAGAGTTTAAAATCAAACCCATTGTAAGTCGTGCTCGCCTCTACAATTTATACTTTATTGAGGAATTTTAATTTTTTTTCGCTGTTGTTGAGTAAAATTCAGATTGGAACTACAAAATGTATACAAAAATGCTAAATCATTTAAAACATGGAAACAGTTTATCATTACTCATTTGATAATGGTAAAATATGAAACCAGTTATTCTGGAAATTGGTATTTTATCTGCCTGATGCAACACTTTTCCACGTGGAAGAGTTTGATGTCTTAATACTTGTGTCACTGTGGCTTAGTTGCGGATTTCTTATGGCCCCTATACAAACTGCACACAGCATTTTTGCAAGCTGTCATTGCCTGTCTGACTGCTAAACCACAAGTAATAATATCTTAGATCAAGTAGACATTCTGACTGATATGACTGCCTTCTTCAGTGTCACAGAAGAGTCTTCAGCTTCTACTCCTAAACTTAATGAACTTGAATGTAACTTGCTATGTTTTGGGTTGGATTAAATAGGAAGGAATATTCATATTCAGGGATATTTTGATATTTTTTCCATGTTAGAAAAATAATCTGTTCCTCTAACAGTGCTTTTCTGACAGCAGTGTACTTTCTTATCTCAACAGGACATGATGAACAGAGAAAACAGCACTCGGCTGCCATACATGCAAGTTGAATACATTGATGAGATCTGCTATCCACTCTATAAGGTGTGTTACTGCTGTATGTGTGCATGTTTGTTGTATGAATGCATATGTGTTTGCATGTTGGTAAGGAAAATAATACCCCAGTATTACCCTTAGTGCTGTTGAGTTCTGCTCTGATTTTCACTTTTCCTCCAACCATCCGGTGTCTGTTTTTGTCCTCCTCAGACCGTATCGGGACTCTTCGACACCTGCTCTCCGTTGCTGAATGGTTGTAAGAAGAACAGAGAAAACTGGCAGCATCTTGCTGAGGAGGCAGAGGAAGAAAACAATGAAAACAGCAGTACTGTAACCCTGGAGACACATAAAAGCATTGATGAAGAGACCCAGACTGAGGAATAGTGAACTGGATGGAAGATGATGACGCATGACTTTTGGAAGCACTTAGCCACACATTTCACTTCATCTTCTTTTTGACACAGTTTAACCAAATTATGATCGGATGCCCACATATCAGAACTTGGATGGACAAATGTGTGAATAGGTTGTACAGAAATCCTGACGAATAATACAGCATTTATGTCTCAAACAACTTAGAGAACAGCACAATCAATGTACAGCTTGTCAGCAATATGAAGTCCCACACTGATGAGTTTCCTTGTTACTGAAGCTGTGAAAGTCTGCTAAATAAATGTAATCAATTTGCATAGATAAAATACCATATTTGTATTATCCATACATGCAACACTGAGTTCTACAAATCCATACCCAGATTTTCAAATGCATACAAAGCTTTTCAAATGTGTGTGCAGATTTTAAATTTTATGTACAAAAATGTTACTATACTATTATATAAGCATACTTATTTTTAGATGTTTTATTCAAATTTTGATGCACTATGAGATTAGATTTTACAAATGTGTTATTTTTGTATTTTTTTTTTTAAATTACAATTATTATTGATATCTTCTACTATGCAATCAGTAGCCACAGCCTGAATATTTATGAAGCCTGGTCACATGTCATTGCTGGTCTATGAGGCCTAGTGACTACAGCCACTTGAATGGTTTTGAAAAGTTTCATGTCTGAATGGTTTGGTTAGCTAAAAAGTCAGAAACATACATTTTATGTAATTTTCAGTTTATGATAATGAATAGAAAAAAAAACATTATTTACCACACATATAACAGTAAAAATAATGTCATGTAATGTATTACAGTATTGCTGCAAATCTTATCTGTATGGCTTTAACGGCAGTAGAAATCAAAATTGTAAGGAATTTGCAATAAACCATTCATTTCAAAAATAATAATAATAATTATGATGAATAAATGCCATCTTTGTGCCAGAATCACCAAGCATTAATCCAACATTCATTCTTAAGCTGATGTTTGGAACACTTTTACTATTATCCTTTCTTTCTATCTTTTCTTTTTTTTTTTAATCATTATGAGCATTTTATCGATTTTATCAACAATATGTCACTTTATTTTGAAATGCTACATCGTGGCAATTAACTGGAAAGCAAATTGCATTCGTTGGCTTTCAGCATAACATTTTTGATCTATCATATCTTGAAGACTTTAGTAGCAGCTAAGTTACTAGCTAAGCAGCTAACGCACTAGGCCTTTTGTCAGGAAGAACCTCCAACACGTGGATCGGAAGAACCCATAACAACTACAACATCTCCAGCAACTAAACTCTTTTTTCTTTGGTTCCACTTCTGCTTCTTTTCTAGTGCTCCTGAACCCATTGCTCCCAAAACAGATCGGAGATGTATTGAACATCTCTCCATCAGTGTTCAACATACATGTCAAAGTTCAAAAAGTTCAAACACCACCATGATGTGGTCCTACTGGTGGATTAAAGCTCCTTTCAACTCCAGCTGGAAGAGGAGCTCAGTATTCAGTACAGTGAGAGATTCTCTCAGCTCTCGTCTTGCTCCAACAAAATTACTTACATAATCTGACTTAATGTGGACAACTTGACTTCTTCTACTGATAAACCAATGTGATGCTTCAGTCTCCTGAGTTTGCCACCTCCGAATGAATTGCTCGCGCTCCCACACAGGTAAAAATGAACCCATAACACTTTTTCATTTCCGCAGGTCCAAAATAATCTAGTCCAAAACTAGTGAATGGAGACAAATCCGGACTAATTCTCTCCTTTAAAAGAACCACCATCATTTGATTCATAGATCTTCCATTATATCGACTAGGAAAACTGCATTCAGATATGATATTCCTCATAACTAAGCTGGCATCTGTAGTCCGATATTTTCTTCTCAATGTGTAACGTTTTAACCACTGTGACCTCCAAAGGCATTGCTCCTTTGCTTTATCCTTTTCCAGGTCTTAGGAGTTTGTTGTCCAAAATCAAATCCATCACATTAATGGAACTTTGCCTGATATTGTCACTTTTTAGATAACAGACCAGAAATTTCTCCTAAAACCTGTGCTGGCAATAGCAGATAATTGCTAACACAACTTCCAACAGGTCTTTTGGAGTCACGATGTTGCTCCTAGTTGTATTTGTGGCTTGTTTTCACTCCCTTTGATCAGCTTGTGCATCATCAGAGGTCTCCCAGGTATTCCTCCCATGACTGTGCTTGAACAAGACTGCTTTTAGATTGAGAAACCAGGCAAACTAACACTTAGAGCCTTTTCCAGTCTTAGTAGCGAGTCATGACATGATCAGTGGCAGTAAATGAATTATTAGCAACAAAATTCACTAAGATGTTTCACAATCCATGATGATGTCCCTAATGTAATTTGCTGGCCACCCTTTCTCAGACTAACACAAAAACCTGGGACCATCCAGCAAAGCTGTCTTCTTGAAAAGACAGCCACCTTCATTCCTCTGGATTCGTGTCAGCTAATGTGCTTTCATTGGGAAAGGCTTGAAACCTCTCTTATGGCCGAGCTCTTATTTGCCACAAATGTATGGAAACGTGTGTTTTTATTAGCAATGCACCTCAAAACTGAAGTACTGTCTGTCCGAAACACAGATTTATCAACCTGGACTTGAAGCTTTGACTTTAGTATCACATCGACTCTGGCAGCTAAGACTGCAGCTGTACAGTGTTAGTTTCTAGTGACCAGCAGTTTACACATTTGCTCAGTAACATGATCTTCCACCTTTAATAGTCTTACAGTTAAAAAAAGCTAACGGATCGTAGCAAATCAACTGATACAAAATTTGTTATTCATCCACTTCAGTAACTAGCGACACTCTTACCTTCTCATGATGTACGTTGGTGGACTATAAAGCGGCTAGAAGCTCCTCAGCATCCAGGGCAGCAGATAAATACAGTTTTCCTCACACACTCCTCTCCAAAGTTCCGTGGTGGCGCACGTTTACGTGTAAAAGGTAAGTTTATTGACGTTGAAGTCTGACTCAGTCCATCAAGCAAAAATTTCTTTGAGAAGGAAAGTTTTTTTCTTCTCATTGTGGCCAAGAGCCCTTTTTGGATTTGCTGAGTTTACCTCTATATTATAGTTTTGTTATGTGTTCACCTTATAGTGTAAAGCACCTTGAGATTACACATGTTAGCAATTGGCGCTATACAACCCCTGGCAAAAAATTATGGAATCACCAGTCTTGGAGGATGTTCATTCAGTTGTTTAATTTTGGAGGAAAAAAACAGATCACAGACATGCCACAAAACTGAAGTCATTTAAAATAATTTTAAATGACTTTAAGAAACACTAAAAGAAATCAAGAAAAAAAATTGTGGTAATCAATAACAATTGCTTTTTTTTAGATCAAGCACAGGGAAAAAATTATGCAATCACTCAATTCTGAGGAAAAAATGATGGAATCACCCTGTAAATTTCCATTTACAAAATTAACACCTGCATCAGATTAAATCTGCTCATTAGTCCACAGTTAAATTAAAAAGGAGCGCTCACACTCTCCTTGTTTGCACTATTTCTTATATTTATATGTACATTTTTTATTTTTTATTTTTTCCTGTCTCGTATATGTGTACCTCTGTTGAATGCTGCTACCAACAATGTGAATTTCTCCACTGTGAGATAAGTAAAGGCATATCTTATCTTATCTTATCTTACACCTTGGAGAGCTGCTGCACCAAGTGGATTGACATGAATCATGGCTCCAACACGAGAGATGTCAGTTGAAACAAAGGAGAGGATTATCAAACTTCTTAAAGACGGTAAATCATCATGGATTGTTGCAAAAGATGTTGGTTGTTCACAGTCAGCTGTGTCTAAAATCTAGACCAAGTACAAAAAACCTGGGAAGGTTGTAAAAGGCGAGCATACCGGTTGACCAAGGAAGACATCAAAGCGTCAAGACAGAACACTTAAAGCAATATGTCTTGAAAACAGAAAATGCACAGCAAAACAAATGAGGAACAAACGGGCAGAAACTGGAGTCACCAAACTGTAAGAAACCGCCTAAAGGAAATGGGATTTCCATACAGAAAAGCTAAACAAAAGCCATCATTAACACCTAAACAGAAAAAAACGAGGTTACAATGGGCTAAGGAAAATCAGTTGTGGACTCTGGATGACTGGATGAAAGTCATACTCAGTGATAAATCGCAAATCTGCATTGGGCAAGGTGATGATGCTGGAACTTTTGTTTGGTGCCGTTCCAATGAGATTTATGAAGAAGACTGCCTGAAGAAATCATGCAAATTTCCACAGTCATTGATGATATGGGGCTGCATGTCAGGTAAAGGCACTGGGGAGATGGCAGTCATTACATCTTCAATAAATGCACAAGTTTACATTGAAATATTTGGACATTTTTTTATTCCATCCATTGAAAGGATGTTTGGGGATAATGACATAATTTTTTAAGATGACGATGCATCTTGCCATAGAACAAAAACTATGAAAACTTTCCTTGAAGAAAGACACGTAAGGTCAATGTCATGGCCTGCAAATAGTCCGGCTCTCAATCCAATTGAAAATCTGTGGTGGAAATTGAAGAAAAT